ATCAGCGCTCAGATCCATACCACCTGCTGGCCAGAACGGCTGCCTCCCCATGGGGCCTCATGCTCTGTGGGGGCCAGGCTTAGGCCACCTCTACCTCTGTGTCATCCAAGGCACCGAGTTCTGGGCCTGGGGCTGGGGGCGGTGTTCAGGAAGTGTTAAAGAGGGGGCCAGGCCAGGGGAGGTGCAATGAGGTCACCACAGAGAGTACAGGTCATTACGACTGTGCGGGAACCGTGGATGGCCGGCAGCGGGGGTGCTCGGATATGCGGCAGCTGCTCCATCTCTGAGAGCCACACGAGGCCCCCAGCCCATGCCTCACACTTCTGGTGATGAGGGGCAAGTGACAGGTGCAGGGCTGATGCTGGGATGGGTGGGGCGACATAGGAAGAGCCCGAGGCAGTGCAGTCCTCCCAAGCCTGTGACATGAGCCAAGCCACGCCAGCACCCAGCCCAGCCAGCGCCCCGTCAGCAGCTCAGGATCAGCTGAATACACGGGCCACGTGTCATGGTTCCTCACAGATGCTGAAAACACCCAACACACCACAAGGCTCCGTGTTCCGTGAATAGCAGTCGCAGCCAACAGAATCAACCTTGTGCACAAAAAAGCTAAGGGCTCAGTGGATTCTAAATTCATCTAAGACCATCACACAGCTGTTAGCTAGCTCATATACTTCTTTTTAAAGTTTATTTATTTATTTATTTGAGAGAGAGTTACAGACAGAAGAGGAGAGAGATTTTCCATCGACTGGTTCACTCCCTAGATGACCATAACAGCCAGAAACTGGACCCTTCTGAAGCCAGAAGCCAGGAGCTCCTTCTGGGTCCACGATGTGGGTACAGGGGCCCAAAGACTTGAGCTTTCTACTGCTTCCCCAGGCCATAACAGGGAGTGGGTGGGAAACAGAGCAGCCAGGACATGAACCAGTGCCCATGTTGGCGCTGCAGTCACAGGGTTAACCTATTATGCCGTGGCACCAACCCCTACTCAAGCTCTTCTAATACACAGAGTAATGGCCAGTCGGGTGATGGCAAAGCATGCTGGTGCCAGCTTGGGGGACCCCACCCAGCACGCTGCCCTCAGCCACACCTGCCCTCCCTCTTCCTGGAGGAGCTTTGTGGGCATGAGCAGGGGCTGCTGTTGGTATCTTGGGGCTCAGAGTTTACATCTGTGAGCGCTGAACCAAGGAGAGGGCTTGACTCTCGGTGACCTGGGTGGGAGAGTTGGAAGTGGTGACATGGGTGGCATTGCACGCAGTGGAGGGAAAGTACGTCTGCGCTGAGCACACCCAGGCACGCTGCCCTTGCTTCCTGGATGTCACTCAGCAGCAACAAAGTGACACAAACATGACACTAAGTATTATGGGTAATACAGAGCTGGGAGGTTATGCCTGGGTGACACACAAACCTCCCATCATTTGGCATCAGGGACCCAAGTGCCATGGCTTGCTGGGACCAATCTCCCTGGATCCTGAAGCCCCAGGAGTTAATGGTAGTGGAGTTAATGGTAGTGGAGGTGACCGAAGGGGGCTTGAGGACATGACAGGTGATTGCTGGAGAGTGACGGGCCATGCCCAGAATGCAAGGCTAGTGACTCCCAGATGCCAAGAATGAGAGCCACGAGGTCGTGAGCCACACCTGGACCTCAGCACATCAGCACTATTTGTGGAGACACACTCAGGGCTGCTCTGGGAGGGGCTGCACCAAGTTCACCACCTCGCGGGGTGCAACTGGTGGGTGGGTGGTGAATTATTGGTGCCTGGTTGGTTAGTTTGGTGCCTGGTTGGTTAGTTTGGTGCCTGGTTGGTTGGCTAGCTACTGGTTAGTGGTTGGTTGGTTGGTTAGTTATTGGTTGGTGATTGGTTTGCTACTTGGTTATTGTTTGATGAGATAGTTAATGGTTGATTAGCTGGTTACCTATGTATTAGTTGGTTGATAATTGATTCATTGATTGATTATTGATTGGTTAAGTCAGTTACTGGTTGATGGTCAGTTGGTTTGTGATGGTTACTGTGGTTACAGAGAGTGGGTGGACACCACGGTGACCTCGGCCAGAGATCTGACACACCCGAAGGCAGCCAAGGTCCCATACGGGCTGATGATGGACAAAGGCCAACATTCCCTGTCCTATCAGGACCCAAGCAGGGCCGATGCCAGCACCCATGTCAGAGGTGGTATAAACCTTTGTCTCCGCTACCCAGCTTGTCTTTCCCACTTGCAGTCCTCTCCTCTGCTGTTCATTGCTCCAGCGCATGGGAAAGGCCCAGGAACGGACTTCTCTGCTTAATGAAGGCCTGTTTGTACTTGGATGGTATTTCCTTTCTCTGGTGGTCAGCAGATCTAACAGTTTAATTGGTTAGTTAGTTGGTTATTGGTGGGTTAGTTGATTGATGGTTAATTATTAAGTGGCTAGTTAGTTAATGATTGGCTGACTCATTATTGGTTAGTAGTTAGTTGGTTACTTGGTAATTGACAGTTACTGGTTGATTGGTTAGTTGGTTAATAGCTGGTTGTTGGTTAGCTGGTTAGTTATTGGTTGGTTTGTTGGTCAGTCGATGGCTACGTGGCTAGCTATTGGTTGGTGCTTAGTTGGTTAGCTGATGCTTGGTTAGTTATTAGCTGGTCAGTTGGTTGATGACTGGTTGATTGGTTAGTTGGTTGATGCTGGTTGTTGGTGTTAGTTGTTCAGTTATTGGTTGGCTAGTTGGTTGGTTGATTGGATAGTTGGTTGGTTAATGACCAACCTCCAGGGCTGGTCTCTGCTGTGCAGGTACCAACATCCAAAGTGACGTGCACATGGTGGTTGGGTGGAGGGGCATCAGGGCCCTCAGGGAGGAGGGGCTGTGGCAGACTTGAGGCAAACATCACTCTCACACTGGGGCCAGCAGATCCCCAGCAGGTGGCACCTGCACATCCTTCAGAGAAGGATGGCCCAGAGTGACTGGCTGGCTAGAGTGCTTGGGACCCAAATTCCCTGTCTGAGGAGGGAACTGGGGTGCACCCCTGGGGCAGAGCTGTTCCAATGTTCCATGTCTCCTAAGAGCAGAGGCAGGGAGCCAGGCTGGGAAAGCTGCCTGCTTGATGAGAAAGGACACATGGGCAGCTCAGGGCTGACGCCTGGCAATGGGTGAGGGAACAGGTTGGAGACAGGAAGGGGAAGGGGCCTCAGGACCCACCCTTCAGGAGATAATCTGGGGCCTAAAGAAGCATTTTGTTGTTCAGTAGTTGATATCAGGATGTGAGGCTGCACTGGGACGTGGCTCCTGTCTGCCCCTGTTTGGGACCCTCAGAATTGTCCCAAGGCTGGGACTAAGGTGGAGAAACAGCTGCTTGCTGGGTGGCTCTGTCCCTCCTGGCCACAGTAGTGGCTCCCTCCACCATGGATACCTGGGGCTGCTGCGAGAGCCAGGAGGCTCCTCAGAAAACCCCTACACAGGAGCCAGCTCTGTGGCTCGGGCAGCAGGCTAAGGTGTTGCATGTGAGCCAGTACCCCATACTGGAGAGCCAGTGCCTATCCCGGCTCCTCTCCTCATTCGGCTGCCTGCCAATGCCCTGAACCCATGTCGGAGACCAGGACAGAGCTCCTGACTCATGGCTTCAGGCTGGCCGGGCCTGGCCATCTGCAGTGGGAAGCAGAGGATGGAAGATCCTCCCCTCTGTTGAGCTGCCTTCAAACAGCCAGGAAGGCTGGAGGGCATCGCACCAAGTGTCACCAGTCAGGTGTGCACTTGTGCAAAACACCCAGCCCTGCCACGCCCCAGGTCGTGACTGTGTGGCGGGTCCCACGCCCTAGGCTTGTGACGCCCTAGGCCGTGACCTGTGTGGTGGGTCCCATGCCCCAGCCCTGCCATGCCCCAGGCTATGACCTGCATAGTGGGTCCCATGCCCCAGCCCAGCGACACTCCAGGCTGTGACCTGCGTGGTGGGTCCCACGCCCCAGGCCATGACCTGCGACACTTGGCACCTCCCTCTGCCCAGACCCCATCAGTAATGCAGGAGTGACAAGGACAGCACAGCTGGGTGGGGAGTGGCCACTGGGAAGTAGATGACTGACCGTGTGCTGGGGAGGGCAGAGTGGGGCCCACATGCTCTGTGGCCACAGGGCCCAGGAGAGGCTGGTGGGAATGCGGTCCCCTCCCCAGAGTCCCCACTGAACGGAAACAGGTGTGCTCAGGGCTCTGCTCACCCTGGGGCCCTTGCGAAAGGAAAGACATGGCAGGCACTGGTAACACATTGACCAGGACAGGAAGGTGGGGTGCACTCCCGCCCACGTCGCTCCAGCCAGGCCCCACGTCCACCCTAGCCACATGGTCCACACAGACCACGATGCCCTGATGCTGCCTGGTGCACCTTTGACGTTGGTGGATCTCAAAGCCTTCATGCAAATGATGACCATGGCACTCCCCACTAAGCACACACACCAAGAGCCCCACACTCCCACACCTGGGACACTGTGCGAGCAGAAGGACACCCCCACGGAGGACAAGAACAGAGCACAGCGTCCCCCAGCAGAGCCCAGTGTGCCAGGTGCACCAGGACACACAACCCACATTCACTTGTACACACGTGGGAACATTCACACACATGATACAGAAACAAGCACATCTACATGTGGGCATGGGCTCATGGCACACGCACACACGGGCATTCACACGTACACATACTCTGTGCATCAGAGCAGGGCCTTGGAGCATGTCCCCTCCACCACCTCACGCTCTCCTGCACCCTTCCGTGACATGCCGGGGGACCGGGAATGCTTGCACTATGGTGGTGCTCCATAAGAGGCTCGCAGAGCTGACCTTCGGGCTGGATGCTGGGTACTGCTCCATCCCTCCGCACTGCCCTGGCCCTGAGGTGCAAAGCCTGGCCGCCTGCTCCTCGCCCAGGGCCCCTCCCCGACTGTACACGGTCAGGTCCAGGAAGGTGGACCGCGCACATTGGAGCCCCGCCCACTGCACGGTCACCACTCGCGCTCCACCCACCTCTGGGTCGCTCACGAGCTCCTATTGGCTAAACTCCCGGTAGCTGAAGTTGTCCGAGCGGAGCTTGATGCTGTAATTTCCAGTCATCCTCTGGCAGCGTACGACCACCAGGGCAGCGGCCCCCGCCAGGACAGCGAGGACGCCCGCCACGATGAGGGCCACGTAGCCAGCGCCCAGGCCTGGCGCTGGACCCACAGGTGCACCTGCACGGAGCAGACAGGTGCAGAGTGAGCAGTGTGCCCAGGGTCCAGCACTATAGGCCAGAGCCACCATGGGGGACCCAAGGCTGCACCTGGAGCCCAGCAGCTGGCTCCCAGCTGGAGCCCAGTGAAGCCCTTCCTAGGAGACCATGACCTTGTGCATTCCCAAGGAGACGCAGCAGGGGCCCAAGAGCTGGGGTATCTCAGCCAGCCTCATGTCTGGGGTAGTTTGGAGAAAGAATGTGGAAGGGGGGTGCTGAGAGGGAGGGGTCATGCCAGATTCCAGCACAGAGGCCTGGGCTGAACCCACATGGACCCCTCATAGACTCAAAAGGCTGTGCACCCCAAAAGTTGGCAACCTCAGCCACTACACACACAGGCGTGCATGCACAGCCCCGTCCCTTGTGGGAGCTAGAGATGGATGTGGCCTGGGTGCACAGCCCCGTCCCTTGTGGGAGCTAGAGATGGATGTGGCCTGGGTGCACAGCCCCGTCCCTTGTGGGAGCTAGAGATGGATGTGGCCTGGGTGCACAGCCCCGTCCCTTGTGGGAGCTAGAGATGGATGTGGCCTGGGTGCACAGCCCCGTCCCTTGTGGGAGCTAGAGATGGATGTGGCCTGGCAGGTGAACAACTGGTCTGTGCAATAGATGAACTCATCCCACCAGCAGGCGAAGCAGCCAGACACCTGTTCTGGTCATACAAACACACGCTCCCAAGCACACACAGCAGGAATAGAACCTTCCCCATCATTACCTGCCCCATGGACCCCCAACCCGTGCAGCCAAGTTCCCTGACTGGCTCTAGGAAACCTCGGCCTGGGCCTCGCAGAGCCCAGATCTTCTTGTCCCTAGCTTGGGGCTGACAGACCTCTGCTGACGGGGCTGTGCAGCCTGGCAAGCCTGGAACATTCTGCATGGGGAGCCTTGCAGAAAAGTCTCAACAGTTTCTCACTCCAAAGGCACAACCTTGGGTGTTCCAACTGCCGCTGAAATGGGGCTCACCTGTGGAGCGAACGAGGGGCCCCCAGGACGTCTGGTGCATTGCAGAGGTCTCACCGCTCCTCAGCACACGGAGGTCATTGCAGTTCTGTGGGACCCAGGAGAGAAGCCAGAAGTGAGTGCACTGGCCCAGGCGTCCGGCTCAGGCCATTCTGTCCCACGGCAGCAGAGCCGGGTGGCAGGTGATCCTGCCCCAGGTGGGGGCCCCAGGGAGCCGGGGGCACTAGCAAGGCCAAAGGAGAGGGCGAGTGCAGAAGCACAAAGGTGGAGGACGCCCCTTGCACGCCCCGGGTTCCTGGCACCTGCCCCCTGTGAGGCCCCTCCTGCCCTCACAGTCTCCCCGCTTTCTCCAAGGTCATGGCCTTTGTCTGCTCCCCACAGCCTTCACATGATAAGCACATGACGACAGACATGTGCCCCAGCGGACACAAAGACTGTCTCCATCCTGGAGTTCCCAGGTTCAATTCCAAGCTCCTGTTTCTAATGCCCTCTTCCTGCTAATGCAGACCCTGGGGGCAGCGGTGGTGATGGCTCCAGCATCCGGGTTCAGCCACCCACAGGAGAGACCTAGACCGAGGTCCTGCCTGCCAGCTTTGGCCCAACCCAGCCACGGCTGCCTCAGACATTTGGGGAGCAAACCAGTGGCTGGGAGATCAACTTAGCTAGCGTCTATCAAATACTAATTTTTGAAAGGCTGCCTGGCTTGGTCCTCCAGCTGTTTGTGATCTTGTCATTTGGAGCTGGGAGAGGGCTGAAACAGATCTTCCCCACCCCCGGGACACCCTCTTGGCACAACCCCCATCCTAAGGGCACTCGGAGAGAGCTGCCGAGGTCACACACGGTAGGGCAGAACCACCTGCTCCCGGGAGCGGTCGGGGTCCCCCCACCCCCAAGCTCTGATGGGATGGGGCAAGCTCATCAGCTCTGAGTGGGAAAGGCGACAAGTTCAACCCGCCTCCGTGGAGGCTGAGCTCGGGGGAGCCACAAGCAGGGTCCTGGGCCAGCCAGCTCAGGGGCCAGCGCCTCTTTCTCGTAGAGAGCCAGGGACCTGGAGGCCTCAGACACACAGCTGACCGCCAGGCCACTCACACAGTGGATCCCCATGGAGAAGGGCTGTGGGACACCTAGTGACGTCCACGTGACATTTTCTTCATGTATGTGTACAGGTGTGCATGTAGGCGTGTATGTGTGTGTGTGCTGGCATTGCCATGAGCAAACCTACGGAACTGTCAGCCATGGAAAGGGGCAATGTGCCCACTCACACAGCATGCCCGGCCCGTGGCAGCAGTAAGGAATGGCTAGTGGTGACCCACACGCTTGCTGCACGGCGCGATTTGGCACCATGCAACAGAGGACACCTCCTCTTCCTCCACCTCCTCTTCCTCCTCTTCCTCCTTCTCATCCTGCTCCTCATAGGGGCAAGCTTACTGGGGACAGCTGTTGGGGGGCTCGGCCAGCACCCCAAAGCACCAGACCCTTCTGGGGTTAGTGTCAAGTCCACGCCGTCTAGGGGCTCTCCAAGTACCCTGTGACGTCTCCATGAACTCGCAGTCACCTAATGACACCTCAGGCGGCTGTCAGGCACGCGGAGGCATGGGGGCCGGACGGCAGCTGGACAGGGCCGTGTTGTACCGCAGTACACCCCCTCACCAAGGCAACCTCAGGAAGCGCTGCTAGAGTCCATGGTGACTGCCAAGGGCCCCTGCCCCAGCTTCCACAGGCCGCACACACACGGATACGCGTGGCTCTGACACTAAGTCTGCAGGCCCGGCAGCCACCGGGCCCTAGGCTCTGAGGCTAAAGCGACAGCGGGGACGGGGAGGGCAGCGTCCACCAGCCGGGCACTCACGATCTTGCACGAGGCTCCGGGCGCCTCCAGGCACACACGCAGCTGGCAGTGCAGGTAGACGAGTGAGGTGTTGATGAAGGAGAAGATCCTCAGCTTGAACTGCGCCTTGTGCGAGTCGCCGTTCTCAATGACGCGGGTGTAGGTGTTGGGCACCGGGCAGCTGGGGGCAGGGAGGGTGCATCCCCCGCACTTGCACCGGCAGCCCCCAGAACCCAGTCTGAACCCCTCTGCCCCGAAGCCCTGTGGCCCACCCTCACCTGTTGTTGATAAACCCAAAGGTGACCGGGTCCTGGGCGTTGCTGGACGGGGTGGCCCAGCACTCGGTCAGCACCACCTTGAGGTTGCCCTTGTGGGTGAAAAGCCCCACCTCGATCTTCACATCATCGCTGGCAGACACGCTGTGGTTCTGGGGGATGGGGGACTCCCCAACGAACAGCTGCATCTCGGTGACAAAGCTCCCCGCGCCGTGGAGATCTTCGATGACAGTGTAAACCCTGGGGCGGGTGGGCAGCCCTTAGGAGCCTCGCCCACGCGAGCCCCTAGAACGAGGACACCAGAGGCCAGCACTGCTGCCTCTTTCATTGCTCCACTTCCCATCCTGCCGATGCTCCTGGGAAAGCAGTGGAGGACGGCCCAGTGCCTGGGACCCTGCATCCCACATGGGAGACCCAGAAGAAGTCCTTGGCTCCTGGCTTCGGTCTGGCCTAACCTTGGCTAGTGCGGCCATTTGGGCAGTGAACCAACAGATGGAGGATCTCTTTGTCTCTCGCCTAAGAGAGGGCCGGCAGAGGGAAGAGCCAGCCCTCACTCCTTCAGGGGGAGATGTAAAGACAGGCGTTGGGAGGAGTTTATGGAAGAAGAGGAAAGCCCAGGAGACCCTGGTCAGGTCGCTGGAGGAGTGGGGGGTGGGTTGCAGCAGCCCCCCGGGGCCAGGGCCTCCTGCCAGCTACTGGAGACACCCCACCCAGAGCAGCAAGGGGGAAGCTGGCGGCCGCTCACCAGGCCCCTCTCGGCATCCGCCTATTTGTTCCCAAGAAGGGTCCCGGGTGGGCCGATGCCCCTGCTCACCCCCACTCCGGCGTGTACCCTGAGGACGTGAGCAGGTGGTTGCGGAAGGCGCAGTGGATGGGGCTGAGGATTCTGAGGTGCCGGATGACGCCGTCGGGGGACAGGTCACTCCTCAGTGTGGTCCTCACCACCGTGTCTGTTTTGTTCTGAACACACACAGGCGGGGTTGTGAGCCTGAGGCCCCCTGATCCCGCTGGGGACCCCGCTCTGGGCGTCATGGGGGGTGCGGAGGCAGCTGCCCTCCTTTACCTGCCCCTCCGATGTGAACACACCCCAAGGATCCACCGCGGCGCTCACCGTCACAGGCAGCGGAGGGCTGGACACCTGCTGTCCACCTGGGCACTGCACCTGCCACCACCCCACCCCCCACCGTGGCACTGCCCCAGGGCACCTGGCTGGGAAACTGAGACAAGGCAGCTCTGTATGTGAGGAAGGTCGCAGAGTCCCGGGATTCGGGCAGCAGGACACAGCTTGCATGGCTATTGTGTCACTCATGTCACCTGTCCCTCAGACCGGGATGCCCAGGACCACCCTGCAGGCTGTTCAGATGCCGCTACTGCAGCCTGCATGTCCTCCACGCTGTCCCTGGGGCCTAAGCTGCCACTCACCCCATGCCTGGGCAGCCCTAGCCGGCGGGAAGCAGAACCTCCAAGGTGCCTCTTAAGCCGTGTGGCTTTGAGGGTTCACAGTGAGGCAGGGAAGGACGCGGTCACGGCAGATGTGGGGGTTGCTTCTGCCACTCCAGGGCCCCTCTGAGCAGGCAGTGGGCTCCCCGGGGCAGTGGGCCTGTCACATAGGAGCCCACCGGCTCTGCCCCAGCCTCAGAATCTGCTGGGCCACAGGGCACGGGAACAAGCTGGACCTCCAGGTATCTGCCCTAAATGCCATTGGTAGAACAGGTCCAGGTGCCCTGGGGTCTAGGATGCCATCATGTCTGCACACGGATCACATGGCTCACGCATGCCCATGGGGTACTGGGGCACACAACCCCTCCCCATGCCCCCTCTTGAAAAGCCTGAACCACAGGGACCACGCTGAGCTCGCTTGTCAGCCTTCCGTCCCCCCACCCCCGGCTGTACCTGCAGGCCTCATCCTGCACCCCAGGACTGGCCCCTAGGCGCTGCCTGTCCCTGCAGGGCTTGGTGACAGGGACACAGGCAGACAAGCGGCAAAGCCTGGGGCCCATACCCACAGCCCGCAAGGGTGCTGCACCCCCAGCCTGCCCAGTGGACCCCACACAGGCTGCCCCATCATGCAGCCCCAATCCAGCGGGGCTCCTACCAGCCCCACCCCGGCCCCAGGCCCCCAGAGCCCGCAAGGGAACTGGGGACACCACCACAGGCCTCCCTGGGGGGCTCTGATGAACACTTCCACACACACACGTGTACCTTACATACCATACACAGCTCACACACATGCATTACACGCCAACTACATGCCTTATACACATACCCTTTACATACCTTATACATCGTACACACGTGCCCTACACACCTTACACACATGCATGCGTCCCTAACAAACCCTTCCTATACACATGCACACCCCTTACACACTCCCCCACGAGTCCCATACACACACGTACACACATTCCTTATGCATGCACACACGTGCACACTGGGACACCCTCACAGCTGCTCCATGCTTACACCTGCCTTTCTCACACACCTTAAGCAATCTGTACACTGTACATACCTCATACACACGTGCACACACAGCACACACACATTAACAAGACTCTCACACACACTCTCACGCTCTCTCACACACACTCACTCTCACACACTCACACTCACACACTCTCACACTCACACACTCTCACACACACTCTCACACACTCTCTTACACTCACACGTTAACAAGACTCTCACACTCACTCTCACACTCAAACACACTCACATACTCTCACACACTCTCACACTCACACACTCTCACACTCACACACACACTCTCACACACTCACACACTCTCACTCTCACACTCTCTCACACACACTCACACTCTCACACGCTCACACACACTCACACACTCACAACTCTCACATTCTCTCACACACTCTCTCACACACTCTCACTCTCTCACACACTCACACACTCACACACTCTCACTCTCTCACACACTCTCACTCTCTCACACTCTCTCACACACTCTCACACACTCACACACTCTCACACACTCACAACTCTCACATTCTCTCACACACTCTCTCACACACACTCACACTCTCACACGCTCACACACACTCACACACTCACAACTCTCACATTCTCTCACACACTCTCTCACACACACTCTCACACACTCACACACTCTCACACACTCACAACTCTCACCCTCACACACACTCACACACTCTCACACTCACACACTCACACACTCACAACTCTCACATTCTCTCACACACTCTCTCACACACACTCTCACACACTCTCACTCTCACACACTCTCACACACACACTCACACACTCTCACACACTCTCGCACACACACTCACTCTCACACACACACTCACACACTCTCACTCTCTCACACACTCACACACTCTAACACACACTCTCACACATTCTCTCACACACACTCTCACACACTCACACTCTCACATTCTGTCACACTCTCACACACTCTCACACTCACACACTCACACACACTCTCACACAGTGTTCACACAGATGTACACATGCATTCACGTGTGTTCCCCACGGTCACATGATGCAAGCATGCAGTATGTGTACCCTTGAATCCCCTCACGGTGGCACACAAGCACAACCACACACACATGCACGTGGTCACACTGTGCGCACACTCACATGTGTGTACTGCTTGGACACACATGTGCGCACACACAAACCTAGACACATACACAACTCCCGTCTTTCCTGTCGTCCACTCCCCCTGCTCCTCCAACCCTCACGGGGCCGCTCACCCCTGACTCTGAAGCTGCCCCAAGCCCTTGGCTTCCCTGTGTCCCTGTTGGGACCAGAGCCCTGGGGGTGCAGATCCCACCCCTCCCATAGGCGCCCCCTCTCTGGGCCCAGGCCTTACACTCTGCACGAGGGTCCCGCACTCGCCCCAGCCGGCCACCAGGAGCACGTGGCTGCTGTTGCTGTGGCTCACATTGCAGGCGGGCTGGCCCAGGTAGAGGGACGACTCGGGGACGGCCTCCTGCCGCAGGAACTGCTTCTGCACGGCCACGACCACCTTCTCCATCTCGCACAGCACCCTGACGGCGCTGCTCAGTGTCAGCCGAGGGGACGGGCCTGAGGGTGCAGGGCTGCTTGCCCCAGGGCTGGGGGCTGGGACAGTGCTGTCAGGGGAGTCACCTGCAAGGCACAGGAGGAAGGAATGTGGGTCTGTGCTCTGGGGCCTGTGGCGGCTGCACCTGCAGGATTGCACAGTGCGGGGACCATGGCTGCACGCTTGCACCTGTGCGTGTTTCTGCCAGCCCAGGCCTCGCTGCTCCACACCTCGCTGCTCCACATCTTGGCCTACTCCTGTCTCCTGTGGGCGTCTAATGTCCAGCATGCGCCCTGCCCACCTTCACCAGCCCTGTTTTCATGGTGCGCCTGCCCACTCTGCCAGGGGCCACCTCAGCCTTCCCCTGTCAGCTGCTCCAAGACACCTCCTCCAGGAAGTCCTCCCTAACCACACTCATTGGACAGGAATAGCTTCGCCTCCCCTGTACCTCCTGTTTCCAGCCTGAGGCTGAATGTCCTCAGAGGTGGCCCCAGCCCATCTCTGGACTCCAGCTCTCCCAGGAGCTAAGGGTTGCTAAACCCGGAGGCCGAGCACATGAGGAGAGCAGGGAACACACGGAGGGCTGAGAAGTGCTGCCTCTGGGGTTGGTCACGCACACTGCACGTCGGCCAGGCAGCCAGGAGCGTCCCAGTGCACACGCCTGGGGCAAGTGAACCCCAGGAGTGCCTGGAGCGGTGCATGAGTGAAGGGACGGGAAGGGAAAAACACACATGCATACAAACACACGCGTGTGGTGCAACATTCACACATACGCACACGCGTGCACACAGGACAGCTGCCTAGGACCTCACTGGGACAAGCAGGCCTTCGTGAACGAGTGTCCTGAGAGAAGACGCTGTGGGGCAGGATCGTGGAAGAAGGAATAGAGCACTCCACCTTCACAGGATCTTCCAGAATATTCTATGGGGAAGTCGAGTTCTTCCTCGCAGTCGCAGGAGAAGGAGCCGAGGGTGTTCCTGCAGGTGGTCCCGGGTGCACAGTCATCCTCGCCTGCTGCACACTCGTCATAATCTGTGGGATATCGGGACACAAAACAGTGCCGTGGGCCCGGAGTACCACAGTTCCCACGCGGCCCAGGGGCTGCCAGCAGAGAGCAGCGCCGTGGGCCCTGAGTATCACAGCTCCCACGTGGCCCAGGGGCTGCCAGCAGAGAGCAGCGCCGTGGGCCCTGAGTATCACAGCTCCCACGCGGCCCAGGGGCTGCCAGCAGAGAGCAGCGCCGTGGGCCCTGAGTATCACAGCTCCCACGCGGCCCAGGGGCTGCCAGCAGAGAGCAGCGCCGTGGGCCCTGAGTATCACAGCTCCCACGCGGCCCAGGGGCTGCCAGCAGAGAGCAGCGCCGTGGGCCCTGAGTATCACAGCTCCCACGTGGCCCAGGGGCTGCCAGCAGAGAGCAGCGCTGTGGGCCCGGAGTACCACAGCTCCCACGCGGCCCAGGGGCTGCCAGCAGAGAGCAGCACCGTGGACCCTGGGTATCCATCACCCCACGTGGCCCAGGGGCTCCAGCAGAGAGCAGGGCCAGGGTGCCCTCACACAGCCTTGTGGGGCTGTTTCTCCCAGCGGGGGGTATAGCACAGGAGCCAGTGCAGCTCTGGGGACACAAAGGACATGTGTCTGCAGGGGCTGATCCAGAAGGAGCCTGGGCCCAGGGTGGAGTGTCCCCCCATCCCCCCTGAGGCGGCCAGCAGACAGGAGGGGCCCGCACCCACCCCTGGTAAGTTGGAAGAGGCCCTTGGTCACTGCCCCTGTCTGCATCCAGGACCAAGAGCGGCACAGACTGCTGGAAGCGGGTCAAACCAGGAAAGCCCAGCACAGAATTGCCGGCTGGTGCTCGAGGGACTGGCACTGTGGGGTGGCAGAAAAGCTACCACCAGGAATGCCAGTCTGCCATATGGGCACCAGTTCATGCCCTGGCTGCTCTGCTCCCAGTCCAGCTGTTAGTGTGCCTGGGGAGACACCAGCGGAGGGCCCGATCACTTGGGCCCTGGCACCGATGTGAGAGAACCAGAGAAAGCTCCAGGCTTCGGTGTGGCCCAGCCCCGGACACTGAAGCCGACTGCAGAGTGAGCCAGCGGGTGGAGACCTTCCCTCTCGCCGCGATGTGTGTCTCCCTGGAGCACTAACTTGTTCATCCATTAATCACTATTTTTAAAATAAAACGCAGGTTGAGGGGGCAGTTAAGCCAGCCCATGTCACGTGGCACAGTGCCTGGGTCCAACTCCTGACTCAGCTCCCTGCATGGGGCCTTCCGGAAGCCTCTGTAACAGCAGACATGCAAGACAGCATGTGGGGCCGGCGCAATGGCTCAGCTGACTAATCCTCCACCTCCAGTGCCGGCATCCCATAGGGGCACAGGTTCATCCCAGCTGCTCCACTTCCCATCCAGCTCCCTGCCTGTGGCCTGGGAAAGCAGCAGAGGACGGCCCAAAGCCTTGGGACCCTGCACCCATGTGGGAGACCTGGAAGAAGCTCCTGGCTTCCAATTTAGCTCTGGCTGCTGTGGCCATTTAGGGAGTAGACCAAACAGATGGAAGATCTTTCTCTCTCTCCTTCTCTCTGTAAATGTGTTTTTCCAATAAAAATAATGACTCTTAAAAAAAAAAACTTGGGTGCTGTCACCAAAGTAGCCCATTAGATATTTGCCAGTATTCCAGAATCTGAAAGATTTTGGTCCCATGCCCAGGGGTCTTTGGGTCCCCTGGCCTGTACAGACCACACTGTAGCCAGGATGGCAGTGGCCACGTTCCTCATCCAGTTGAACCAACACCCTTCCAGCTCAGAAGTCTGCTTGGGGCCCACATTGTGCACGGCAGGTTAAGCCAGATCAAGGACCTGGTGAGAGTCCCGGCTGTCCCACTTCCGATCCAGCTCCTGCTAATGCACCTGGGAAAGCGGCAGAGGGTGTCCTGGTGCTTGCGCCTGCACCACGTGGGAAACGCAGGGGTTCCTGGCTCCTGCCTGATCCGGTCCTGGCCACTGCAACTGTATGGGGAGTGAACCAGTGGATGGAAACTCTCTCTCTTTCTCTCTCCCTCTCTCTCCCTCCTACTGCTCTGCCCTTCAATAAATAAATAAATCTGAAAAGAAAGCAGATACCTCTCTTGTTCTAATTGACAACAGTCCTTGGCGCGGACCAAGCACCGTCTGGCACCCCTCCTGCCTCGGGACCGTCAGGTCCTCCAGGCCCTTGGCTTTGACGTCACACTGAGACCTGGTCCCTGACGTCTCAGAAGCTCTAGGCAGCAGTCCCGTGGGTGAGCATGGGTCCAGCTGAGGCCACCTGCTGCCAAATGCACTGCCGGGTGGAGACCAGCCCCGCCCCTCCAACAGGTGCATGCCCCGCCCCTGGGGCCAGGACTTTTGACAGCAGTTGTCATGCGCCTGGATGAACCAAGCGAGCAGCTTGCCAACGCAGGGGGCCCAGCAGAGGCGGCCATTTGTGGCACAGGCTCTCGCACGTAGTTCTCAGGTCTCAGCATTCATCATCTGTTTCTACGGGCTTGCTGTAACTTTAGAACATTAAGCCTCCGACAAGTCATGGAGACTACTGGGGAGTTTTGCTTGCCCCGTAAGGACACCTGGACGGTTGGGGGTGAAACAGGAAATCTACATATGCTTACGGATCTCGACGTCTGCGACTGTATACAGTCCCCAGTCTCCCGCCCCCCCTTCACACTTGTCACTGATGGGTTAATATCTGTTTTCTGATGTGAGGTGAGACAAGAAGCTGCGCTGCCTTCTTCGCTGTCTTACCTCTCAGTTATTTTTAAAGATAGATTTGCTTTTATTTGAAAGAATTTTTTTTTTTCGGAAAGGGAAGGAGAGACACAAAGAGAAAGGTCTTCCATCACCTGCTAGTTCACTCCCCAAATAAGCATGACAGCCGGAGCTGCGCCCAGCCGAGCCAGGAGCCAGGAGCTCTTCCGGGTCTCCTACACAAATGCAGGGTCCCAAGCCTTTGGGCTGTCCCCCACTGCTTTCCCAGGCCACAGGCAGGGAGCTGGGTGGGAAGCGGGGCAGCCGGGACACAAACTGGTGCCCATATGGGAAACCAGTGCCACAGGGCAGAGGACCAGCTGGCTGCACCATGGCACTGACCCCACCTCTCAATGATTCTTCTCAGAACCTAGGGGGAAGAGGGGGCTGTACAGGGAGTGACCCAGCACCCCTCAGCCCTGGGGCAAGTGCAAGGGTAGGACTGGGACAGCGCCCTGGGGAGCTTCCAGACTGCCTGCCATCTGGAGCCTCGAGAGAAAGTTCCCAATCACAGTGAGAAATGAAAGAGGATCCTGTCTTATCCAACTCATACGCAGGGAGGCCCCGAGAGGCACCTTGGGGTGTCCACTGTCTCCCCTCCCCTCGGGACCCTGCCCCCACGTACCCTGCAGGAAGGTGTCGCTGGGGACCACCTCCAGCACGGTCATGTTCTGCAGGGCAGCCAGGAACGCAGCAGACACCTCCCCCACGTCCACGTCGGCAATGATCAGCACGTGGAACTCCACCATGACACTGCCGTTGGTGATACGGGTCACCTCCAGCCTGACCCCGCCGGTGTCCAGCTGCTGGCACAGCTCAGTTGGCAAGGAACCCCGCACCTTCAGAGAAATGCCACTTGTGAGCAGAGCCACCTGCAGCCCAGGGCATGGGGACCTGCCAAAGGGCGGCCTCTGGTGAGACGCTGTCCCGCGGCAGGCCTGGCCCTCACTGAGAAGATGGCACACCATGCTATCCCATGCCAGCCCAGAAAGGCCAGATGAAACAGGCTGTCATGCTAAGCTCCTGCAGGGCCGTGACCTCCCAGAGAACAGCTGGGAGGGCAACCCAGGACCCAGGAGTCAGCGTCATGTTCCCCAGTGTCTGAGGGATCCAAGGGACAAGTCCATTGTCACCCAACAATGGTTGTGGACCCAGAGAGAGCCCTGGCTGGCTTTGATCGGCCTCATCATGTCTGCTGCCACCTCTTTCAATCAAACCCCCAACATCTCCTGTATGCACGTGCTGGGCTGGGAACTGGGGACCCCTAGACAGCTGACAGCCAAGATCCCAGGGCCAGCACCAGACGGCTGCGGGAGGCAGGGGCCGTCCCTGGCCGGCAACACTGCAGTGTCATTGCAGTATTACACCCTCCCTCTAGGGGGCACTGCAAAGCTCGTCATTATCACACTCTGCCCCTAGGAGGCGATGTCGAGTTCTGCAGTATCGCAGCCTGCCTCTAGGTGGCAGGAAACAATAGGAAACGCGGGATCACATGGGGTCTCCGTGCAGTGGAGTGGTGCCATTCAGCCGGAACACTGCAGGTGGACGGGGCTTGAGACCACGCTGAGCGAGAGCAGCCAGGCAGGCTGTCACGCGTGGCATGACCCTGTGCGTCTCAGCTTCGCCCGCAGAGACGGATATCAAGCCTGGGCCCAGGAGGGGTGACCAGCAACCTCTCAGCCACAGGGTTTCCTTTCAAAAGGGTGGCGATCCATGGTCATTGCACGATTGTGCAAGATAATCTAACCTCTGCTGTGCACTCAGGGCCAGCACAGTGGCTGAACAGGCTAATCCTCAGCCCGCAGTGCCGGCATCCCATACCAGCACTGGTTCAACTGTTCAAATGGAACCAACTGTTCCATTTCCAATCCATCATGCTGCTTGTGGCCTGGAAAAGCAGCAGAGGAGGGTCCAAGTCCTTGGCACCCTGTACCCACGCTAGAGACCTGGAAGAAGCCCCTGGCTCCTGACTTCAGATCCACCCAGCCATCACAGCCATTTGGGGAGTGATCCAGCAGACAGAAGATCTCTCTCTCTCTCTATCTATATATATAGATATCTGTCTCTATACAATCTTTCTTTCACATGAGAATGATTAAATCTTACAAAATTTAAAAGTACGTTTTTACGGTATGTGAAATATATCTCAATTTTTTCAAGATTTTTTTTAAGCAGGAGGTGGGGGCTGTGTGTCCCCAGGACCCCACTGCGGGCAGAAGCGGTATAACACAGGACAGAAAAGATGGGTCCTTCCTGCTGATGCGCCTCCCCCTTGGCAAGCCAGGAGCCTGGGGACCTCCCCGCCTCCTCCAGCACACAGCCCAGGGGCCCGTGGGGCCGATTCCTGGGCCTTGGACTCCACCTGCCGTTACCTGCAGCAGGACACTCACCGCCTTGAGGAAGAGCTGCAGGAACTCGCGGTGCTCACGGCTGCTGGTGTTGCGCAGCGACTCGGAGAATGAGACGTTGGCGAGCCTCACCTGGCCGCCGAGTTTCCTGGCCTCTGCGGGAACAGGCGTGGGCACATGGCTGAGGGCAGCAGAATGCCCCGTGCAGCCTCCTCGCCCAGGGCGAATGACAAGCCAAGGCTGGCCTGAGCCCAGGAAGGAGGATCTGGACCTGCTGCCCTGAAGGGGGAGTGTGGGCACAGAGGGAGAACCTTCCAGGGGCTGCAGAACCAGCTCCCCATCTTCCCCTCCCCCACCTTGATGCCGTCTTCTGTACACAGGGTTCCAGCAACTTCACAGCAAGTCAAAACAACTCCAATTGGCCTAGGAAGGCACCGTCGCCTGCCAATGCCAGGGCCTGAGAGGTGAGCCAGTTGTCCCTGGCCACCCAGGATGCCCCTCCGCTGGGCCGTCCCTGCTCTAGCTTCCTCTGGCTGAATCTTTTCCCCACATGAGCTTTCTGGGACCACATGGGATGCACAGCCTGGAATCCCAGCCCCATAGCAGCCCGGCTCCAGCATGTGGTTGCCTGTGCCCCCTGCCAGTCCTGCCTCCACCAGACATTCCTGCAGTACCTGTCATGTGCCAAGGGTTATGTGGGCAGCGACAGAGAAAGACATGGGTGAGGAGCTTACAGCCTGCCCCCCATCCCACCGCCACTACTGCCAAGAGTTCCTTGCTCAGGTTGGAGACAAACCACTGAGCCATCCAGCCCCACATGTTGCTGTCTCCGAGCCGAGTCACAACAGCTGGCATGGCGAGCTCTGCTCTCAGTCCCACGGCTGGCCTGTCTGACCAGCCAGTGCCACCCACTGCCCCTCCTCCAGCTCACCATGAGCCTGAGCCAGCAGGGTCACAAGGACTTGGGTCTAATCTCCCAAGCAGAGGCCCCTTAGCACATCAAAGGACAGCGACAGAACCCCAAAGATCTTGCTGCACCCCAGGAGGTCACCTTCAGGCTCCCCCAAGAATGCAGTCCCCCTCTCAGTGCTTGGGAAGCAACCTGAGGGGTGAGGACTTGCCTGCAAACCTTGTACAACCTTGGGTCTTCGGGGGACACGGGTAAGGAAGTGGCCCAGGAAACACAGGACACACTGAGTTCAAGTCCCAGCTCCCCCCACCCCCACTTCTAGCTTCCTGCTAAGGTGCACCCTGGCGGGCAGCAGGTGCACCTGCTGGTGGAGGCTCAGGCACCTGGGCGCCCTCTCCCCCCACTATCTGGACAGGGAGCTAGGATGGGTTTCTGGCCTCCTGGCTTTGGCCTGGCTTGACCCCATCTGGTACAGTTAGGAAAGGAACCGGCAGTTGGATCTCTGCCTCTCTCTCTCATTCAAATTCCACGAAAATAAGCAATGAAAATTTTTGAAATTGCAACTGCCTCAGGTAACAGGGAGAAGAGAGGAATTTTATCTGAATCTACATCAGCAGGGACAAAGTTGACTGTGAACTCGCGGTGCCTCCATCCAATCTCAGCCCCTACTGTGGGGACCCGGGCTCAGGACAGTCACTCGCAGGTCTCCACTGCCCTTCCTGAAGGCCAAGTCCACCGAGCAAGGCAAGAGGGGCACAGCTCAACAGATGAACACTGCAAAAGTTCTCCTCAGTTCTCCCCGTGCTCTGGGCAGGCAGTGGGCTGCTCTGGGACACCCCAGCCCGGCCCGCAGCCTGCCCAGCTTACCCTGAAAGCAGTCTCCGGCCAGCCTGTGTCCAGCTAGCAAAATGAGCAGACACACCAATGCGGAGGAGAAAATGGAACCCCAGGGCTCCTGGGTAAATCAGTCCTCTGAAACCTCTGCCAGCGCGAAGTCCTCCTCCTCCTCTCCCTTTCTTCCTCTCCCTCCTCCCCCTCTCCTTCCCTCCCTCCTTCTTCTCTCCCTCCTCCTCCCCCCTCTCTCCTCCTTTTCCCTCCTCCCCTCTTCCTCTTCCTGTCCTCCTGGGCAGAGGAAGGCACGCTCCAAAGCCATTACCTGTCCTCACTTTGAGGTGTGCTGGGGCACCTTCCTTCCCACATGCTTTGGCCACCAGCTCCACCAGATGCAGGACGCCTGGCTGCAGCCCCGACAACACCACACGCGTGTCCTGGGTCTCTAGACCCACAGTGGAGCTCGGCGCAGGGCTCAGGGTGAGCTGGAAGGTGGGGCGCAGAGCGAGACTCGCCACCCATGCCAGGTGGAAGCCAGAGCTGGTCACGTTGGAGACGGTGACCCGCTCAATGAGGACAGGAGCTGCGAGCAGAACACCAAATGGAGACCACCGTCAGTGAGCCGCCGCAGGGGAGCCTGGTTCAGGCTGGGAGTCGGACAGCAGTCGCCCTGGGATGCACCTGCACGCCCCAGGGATTTGGGGGAATGGCTTCAGGGGGTAGGTCCTGAGCCCTCTGGACCCCGACAATGAGGAAGCAGGCTCTGGGTCCCTTGTCATCAGGGCTGCCCAGCTCCCACCCTGGTGGGACACACGGAGGGGATAGAGCTGTGTGTGCATACAGGGATGTCCTGGGGGCCACGGGAGGTCAAACAGAGGCTGGCTTCTGCTGGGCAGCAGCCAAGTCTGGGCACTGATCAAGGCCAGCCAGTGCCGTGAGCTCACGACAGACACCTCTGTAGGGCGGCCATGGCCCGGGCTGTTTCCTGCCCTGAGTCTCCTGCGTGTCACCCGGGGGTTTGGGGACAGCCACACTTCTGTACATGACAGGATCTGGTGGGGAGAGGAAGGAGGTGGACCAGGCTGGAGTGTGTCCCCATTGAGTGCAGTGCCCCACTGGGGGTGGCGCTGGACCAGAGCTCAGCCCAGCTGGATATGCAGCATAATTGTGGTACGGGATAACTGGGGTGCCCAATAGCCAGGGTTGCTGCTGCTGAGGCTGGTCCCACACAGGGTCCCCCAGGGCTCCTCTGCACTCCTGCACACCGGGAGCTCAGGAAGTGGTAGCAGAGGGCTGAGATGGGGAGGGGTCACACCCTCTCCCCACCCAGACCAGCACAGCTGCAGAGTGCCAGCCCACTGGGTGTCCTCATGCCCCAGAGGAGAGAGGCCTCTGCCCACTGCGGGGTTCCCCAGTACTCACCGCAGGTGGGGGTCCTCAGAGATGCCAGAGTCGGGGTCCGTGGCAAGGCTGGGGAGCCAGGGAGGCTGGGGTCCTCGTTCTTCCACTGTGTGGGGCTCAGGGGGGTCTCCCACATGGGCAGGGTGGTGTGCCACACGACGTGGCCCGTGGGGTCCTCAGGGGGTGGCTTCGTGGTAAGTGCTCCCAGAAACTGTCCATTGGTGTCCAGCAGGTCAGCTGTTGCCCCCTGGTGGGAACTGGGAACTGAGCTGGGAGCCCTGGAGGGGGCAGTGCTCCCCAGGCCGGGGGCTGTGCTGGGCTCTGCCTCGGCCACCCCTCGCCCTGTGCTGCCCCACCGTTCCTCGTGCTGCTGCGTTGAGATGCTGGGCGGGGGCCCAGCGGTCTGGGTATCCTGCAGGTGCCTTGGGCTGGATGCCAAGGTAAGGTTCTCTGCGTTGAGTGCTGCTGTTCCTATGCCCAGCAATGGGGCCGTGACCCCTGCCGCTGCAGATGGCACAGCTCCCGTGGGGCTCCCCATGTCCCCTGCAAGACACAGCCACCATCAGTCAGACAGGCGCCTGGTGCACAAGAAGTGCAGCCACGCCCACAGAAGCTAGCCCTCCACAAGAACACTCCCCGGAGGGAGGCATGGCCGGTCCGTGCTCTGTCCCCATCTGTGCCCAGCAGGGAAGCATGGCCGGTCTGCGTTCTGTGCCCATCTGTGCCCAGCAGGGAAGCATGGCCGGTCTGCGCTCTGTGCCCGTCTGTGCCCAGCAGGGAGGCATGGCCGGTCCGCGCTCTGTGCCCGTCTGTGCCCAAGGGCAGACACAGCTAATCAACTGTAGACTTGGCTAGCCAATCAACCCTAGCTTCTCAGCTCAGCGGCCCAAAAGCCCCCACTGGGGACAGAGATACGGCAGGTCTGGGCCTTTGGCCAGAGCCCACCCAGAATCCCACCCTCTAGGGCATGATATTGTCTACGGAGGAGCAGTAGCATACGGAGTCTTCATGCCTTGATTCAAAAGGAAATCACATTTGTGACTACTAGAATGAAGATAGCAGCAGGCTGCGTCGTGGTTTACGTGCTTTACTGCCTTTATTTTAATGTCTCTCGTCTGCTTTTAAAAGAACTGAAATCAGGGCCAACATTGCGGCCTAGCAAGCAAAGCCTCCACTTCCCATCCCGCTCCCTGCTGGTGGCCTGGAAAAGCAGCAGAGGACGGCCCGGGCCTTGGGACCTGTGCCCCAGGGGACAGCCAGAAGAGGCTCCTGGGTCTTGACCTTGGACATGTCCAGCTCTGGCCAGCTGAGATGAAAGCTTGCTCACTCACTCTTTCTCTCTCTCCTCCTCTCTGTAACTCTTTCAAATAATTAAATAATAATTCTTTAAATGCATTTGCTCCCATGATGGTACTGTCTCTCATCCACTTTTTAAAAGAAGCTAAAATACGAGCATTGCCGTGGGCCCTTGGCACCGTGCATGGTGGGGAAGTGGCCGTGTCCACCAGGGCCTGGGCAGGGACACGCACCCTCGCAGGCCCGGCCCGACCGGCTGGGGTTGACATCCCTGGCCACGCGGCACTGGCAGCTGTAGGATCCTTCGAGGTTGATGCAGCGGGCGGCTGGCGAGCAGTCATTCTCCGAGCTGTCTGCACACTCGTCCCAGTCTGCAGTGGGTGGGAAAGGGAGACACTGACCAGAGGACAGGGGCTGAGGCTGGGAGGCAGAAGGTCACGGTCAGGGCTGCGTGGGCACTGTGCATGCTGCTGGGCCAGCCAGCCAGGGGCTGTACCCTACTCCCACCCCTGTGCATTGTGTGGGAAACCTGATCCCTAAGGATGGATGAGCCCAAGGCCAGTGAGGTCACAGGACCCGGTGCCCTTGCCTTCCAGCCGCAACTGCCCAGCAGGTGCCAACTGGGACCCACTGGGGCCAGGTGGGTGGCACACTCAAGGTGTGTCACCACCTCCAGGCAGCCTGGACAGCGTCCTGAGGCCTGGGGTGCTAGGACAGCCTGACCAACCATTATGCATGTGAGACCTTCCATGCCTGGGGCGGCCGTCACCCATCAGCACCCATCAGCACCCACTGGGCAGCTTGAGGCAGCCCTGGGGACCCCACATGAGCAGGGCTGTGCTTCCTTGGAAGGGGCAGGCTCCAGGGGGGCTCCCTGCGGCCTCCTGGCCCTGGGGGCTCATGGCCACATCACTCAGGACCTTGTCTTTGTCGTCATGTGGCTCTCACCCACCCTGCATGCCTGCGCGTCTTCCCAGTTTCTTGGAAGGATGCCTGTGTGCACTGGGACCCTGAGCCCACCGCGGGGTGGCCGGACCCGGAGACTTGTGTCCCTCAAAGACTTCGTGTTAACTGAGCACATCCCCACTCTGCAGGCGGACATAACCCAGTCCTCATCCAACTAGGATGTGGGACAGTCTACACTGACGGCTCTGTAGCAGGAGGGAGGGGGAGCCAGGGGAGCCTGGGTGGCCACGCTGGGCTGCACACCACGGAGGGTTCCATCTCAGAACCCCATGCACCAGGCCCCAGCCCTGAGCCAGCCAGGCAGACCTCTCCGCTGGGACAGGGGCTCCGGGCAGCGTGCCTGGGAGGGGAACGGGGACCAACAGGTGTCTGAGCTCTGAGGAAATGATCCCGCCCTCGCAGCCAGAGCCTGTGTGTGCTCAAGCCCTGGGACAGCCAGGCTGTGGCTGCAGCCCCTCCAGCTCCCCCTGCGTCCCAGGCAAGGCCACACCAGATGCCATGGAACACCGGGAGAGTGGACAATGTTCCATCCTCTCCCCCTTGTCAGGCCCCAAGTCCCATTGCTTCTGCCTCCAGGCCAAGGGCACCACCAGAAGGGAGGAGGCCCCAGTCCCGCGTGTCCTGCGGGGGCCGGGTGTGCAGTGGGGGCCCTCTCTTCCAGCGGAAGCAGCACTCGAGGGCCTGGCGTTTCCCAGGCCAGGGTCAGGTTCCAGCAAAGAACCAGACTCGTCTCGCTTGATTTCCCTTTAAAGATGGCCGCCTAAACCCCTGGGGAGGGAGGAGACCCCGTGGGGAGAGAGAGGCCCGCCCGTACCTTGCACCTGCGTTCCCTGCCGGTCAATCTGGAACACCGTGCTGGCCCACAGCGGCCCCAGCATGGGCGACAGCGTGGACACCTGCAGTGGGAACTCGGGGTCCTGCACGGTCAGTCTCAGCGTGGCAACCACACTTCCCGCTTGCAGGGACACGAGGTGTATCCACAGCTTCCCGCGCCTGCGCAGGTCGGACACGGCAGGCGGCAAGGACTTCTCCACCTGCCCGAGGAAGAGGAGAGTGTGGGACGGGCAGGTGTCCCAGTCGTGTCACCAGGGCACGGCACTGGGCAGGGCACAGGGGTCGCCGCTCCCCTCTGCCATCAACAGGCTGCAAAGACACAGCGCCACTGCCCCCACGGGCTCACAGCCCCTCTCCACCAGGCTTCTCGAGGGACAGAGGGCCCCCCAAGCCTGGGCTGTCACCGTGTGTGCTCATGCGAGAACCGAACCCGGAGACCCCGTGGCTGTTCGGGGTGGTCTCTTTGCCTCACTGGGCTGCATCCAACAGGAAACACGCAGAGCCGGGCGCTCTGGGGTCAGCACACCTCCTGCAGGGAGTCCTTGCAGTCCAGGAAGTGAAACTCCCAGGCCCTCGGCACTGACCCCTGCTGGCAGATGGAGGAAACGCCCTTGGCAAATAGCAACTCCATCTCCTGCCTCTCGAGGGCGCTAGGTTATGAGATGCTTGAACAAGCTCATGGAAATACACATGGGCTTCAAACACTCCCGATGGCATCGAGGCACTGTCGGCCAAGCTGCTGCCTGGGACCTGGGCATCCCATAGCGGCACCGGTCCAATCCAGCTCCCTGTTCATGTGTCTGGGAAAGCATCAGAGGATGGTCTGTGTCCTCGGGCCTCTGCCCCCACGTGAGACCCCTGGGAGAAGCTGCTGGCTCCTGATCTCAGCTTGGTCTAGACCCAGGTAACGCAGCCATTTGGAGAGTGAGTCAGCACATGCAAGACCTTTGTCTTTCAAACAAATGAGTCCATCTAAAAATGACTGAATCAAAATCAACTTTTAATCCCACTTTTCCATGAACTGAGCCAGGCCCACAGGTGCATATCGCCCACTGGACCCTCCACCTCACGTTCCTGGGACTGTGCCCTAAACAACAAGCCCTGTATCTGGGGTTGGCACCGTGGTGGGGTTAGTTAAACCTCTGCCTGTGGTGCCAGCATCCCATATGGGCGCCAGTTCTAGCCCCAGCTGCTCTCTTCTGGTCCAGCTCCCTGCTGATGGCCTGAAGAAGTAGCAGAGGACAGTCCAAGTCCTTGGGCCCCTGCACCACGTGGGAGACTGGGAAGAAGCTCCTGGCTCCTGGCTGCAGCTAGGCCAGACCCAGCTGTTATAGACATCCGGGCAGTGACCCAGTGGGTAAAAGACCGTTCTCTCTTCTCGCTCTCATTCTCTCTCCTCTCTCTCTCTTTATCTTCCAAATAAATAATTTTTTTAAAAAAGTGCTTGGCCTCACCCAGGAATCCCATGTCTTCTGTCAACTATGGTTATTGCGCTAGTTGGCAAGAAGGGTTGCAATCTCAAACTTTTTATGTAATTCCTGTGTCTCAGATTCGTCGGAAGACAGAGAGCGTGGAACCTGGCTCAGCTGTCCTATGCCACGCATTGGCATTGCCCATTAGCCAAACGGCAGGAACAGAGGCTGTGGTTCCCGGCAAATGCTTATCCCAGGAAGGCACACCAAAGTCGGGAAATAGATTTCCCAGACAGAAGGTCTGGTCGGACGACCGAGCGTTGCACATGGCCAAAAGACAGGATGTCACCGAGGAGCGAGGGGCCCCCTCAGAGCAGAAGCCATGGTGGGCGAGGGGTGGGAGAGCCATGGTGGGCGAGGGGTGGGGGAGTCGCGTGGCCCGGGCACCTGCGGGAAGGGGCGGACCGCAGGTGCCTGTACCTCCTGCAGCAGCTGGCTGACGAAGGCCTGGTACTCGCTACTGCTGGGGTCCTGCAGCTCGACTGTCAGGTTGCGGTCCACGATCCTCAGGGTGACTCTGAACAGCTGGGCCTCTGAGAGGAGAAGCACATGAATGAGCTCGGATCCCGGGAGCATGCGCCACGGGCGCTTCTGCCGCAAAGGTCGCCTGTTTGCACAGACACGCAGGGACAACAGTGGAGGCTCGGCCCTCAGCAGGGAGTGGGAGGCAGGAGAGGGCTCTGTCTCTCCCGCAGTTAGCCAAGGAAATGCTGACCCCAACCCACGCGTGCAGGCGTGCTTCTCCTGAGAGCCCCTCGGAAGCACCCATCTCAGTCGCGGAGGTGGCGGATAAACACCCTTGTGTCCTGAGACGGTCGGGCCTCAGCCTAGAGCCTCATGGACAGTCAGTACCCAGCACTGCCCAGGCACCGGCTGCACCATGTGCACTGGCATCCCAGCTGGCCGCAAAGTAGCCTCAGACAAGGCCAATGCGATGGCAGGAGGGCACCCCCCACTCCCAGAGCTGCTGTGGTGAGGACTCAGGCCCCTGGACAGCAGGTGTCAGCAGGTGGGCCTGGAAGGGGAGGTCGGGTCCCTCCTGAGTGCAGTCACATGGTGACTGCAAGGGTGGATTTGCTGTGGAGTGAGCTGCCCCCTTGCTGCTCCGTCACCCAAGCTGCCACCTACTCTGCGAGGACTCTGCAGGGAAGACCTTCCCACAAAACCCCCCTGCCCCAGGCCTTCTGCCAACCACTCTCCTGCAGAAAGGGCCCAGGATAGGCACCTGGCTCAGCAGCTAAAAGGCCATTGGGATACCTTATCCACGCTCCAGGCCCTGCGCTGAGCCCAGCTGCCATGTGCAACCCCAGCTTCCCGCTAATGCAGATGCCCTGGATGGCAGTGACAGCCTGGGTGTCGGGGTTCACGCCGCTCCAGAGGGACACATCTACAGAGCCCCCCCCCACTCCAGCGCAGTCCGTCAGAGCAGGCGTTTGGGGGTGAGGGTGTGAGCCAGCAAACAGGGCGCTCGCTCTGCATGTGTGTGTGTGCCTCTGTTGGGGGAGCAGCATATGTACATGTGTTTTTGCTTTTCAAATAATCTTTTAATTTGTTGTTATTAGAAAGGCAGATTTACAGAGAAGAGACAGGGAAAGATGTTCTGTCTGCTGGTTCACTCCCCAAATAGCCGCAATGACCAGAGCTGAGCTGATCCGAAGCCAGGAGTCAGGAGCTGCTTCCGGGTCTCCCACGTGAGTGCAGAAGCCAAAGGCCTAGGGCCACCATCTGCCACTTTCCCAGGACATAAGCAGGGAGCTGGATGGAAGTGGAACAGTCAGGACACAAACCAGCACCCACATGGGATGCCAGCTCTTGCAGGTAGAGGATTAGCCCGTTGATCCATGATGCCAGCCCCTTCTCAATAACTTTTTAAAGCTAGGGGCACCATTGCATAGTAGGTTAAGCCTCCACTTGCAGCACCAGTATCCCACATGGTCTCTGCTCTCACAATATAACTGGGAAAGTAGCAGAAGATGGCTTGAGCCCTTGGGCCCCCTGCCACCCCTGTGAGAGACTTGGATGGAATGTCCCTGCCCTAATGTGCTCTGGGACATTGTGGGGCAGCCATACTGGGTCCCCAGAACAGGGCCAGGATGACCCGCAATCCATTTGGCAGCTCACCAGTTTTGACGGTCAGCACGGCCGAGATGTTAGCCCCGCAGCCCTGGTAGCTGGTCTTGACCTCGTAGAGGACCCCTGCCTCCAGCCCGGCCACCGCCACGGTCTGGGCCCGGGTCCAGGAGCTGCTGAGCGGGACCCCGCCCCTGGACACCTGGACGTGGAAGGTGCGGTTCTGGGCGGGACTGGAGCTCCAGGACACGCGGAAGCCAGTGCTGGTGACATTGTGCGCCACGTGGTCACCGACAGGAGGGCAGTCTGTAGGGGAGAGGAGACGTCAGGGAGAGCTCCCTGAAGCACAGGTGGATCCTCACCTCCCGTGGCCAAGCCGGCCCACGCACGACTGTAAACCAAACCCGGTCGTCCGAGGCGGGGGGCCAAGCCCTCTCTCCCCGAAGCTGCCAGAGCATGCGAGCAGCAGGGCAAGATGTCAAAGTGCTGCCACTGAGACAAACAAGAAACAAGAGGTGTCGATGCGGGTGGCACAGCATGCCAGTCATCCACCCGTAGTGCCAACATTACCAGTTCGTGTCCCAGCTGCTCCATGCCTGTGGCCCGGGAAAGCAGTCGAGGACGGCCCAAAGCCTTGGGATCCTGCACCTGCGTGGGAGACCCTGAAGAGGCCCCAGGCTCCTCCTGGCTATGGATCAACTCAGCTCCAGCCACAGTGGCCACTTGGGGAGTGAACTAGCAAATGCAATCTCTCTCTCTCTCTCTCTCTCTCTCTCTCTGTAACCCTGACTTCAAGAAAAAATAAATACATCTTTAAAAACGAATGGAAGTCTGAGGTTGAAATCTCAGACACTCTCCGGCTGAGCCAAATGTGTGATTCACCCAAGGTGCTGGGTCCAGGCTGTGGATAACACTGTGGCCTTTAAAAGAACAAAAGTGTATTTATTTGTTTTGAAATAATTGTAGAGATAGAGAGGGAGAAGCAGAGAGAGAGCTCGTCCATCTTCTGGCTAACTCCCTAGATGACCACAAGGCCATAGCTGGACTTGCCCAAAGTCAGCAGGCAGGCGCTTCATCCAGGTCTTCCACACGAACGCAGGGGCCCAAGCGTTTGGGCCATCCCTTGCTGCTTTCCCAGGCCACAAGCTAGATGAGAAGTGGAACAGCTGGGACTTGAACCAACACCCATAGAGGATGCTGGTGCCACAGGTGGCAGCTTAACCCACACTACCACCATGCTGGCCCCACATGTGGCCTTTTATGCAATACAGAATCAGTGTTTGGCAGAATGCCAAGACAAGTTCTGCAGACTGCTGACCATGACACCGTGCCAAGACACGGGCAGCAATGACCCCCACGGCAGCTTGCCCCCGCACCGTGCCCACAGGCACTGCATGCAGATTCATACCTGAGGCCGCCAGGCTAAACCCCGTGGTCAGCTGACCGAGAACACTGAGCCTGTGCCCCCACATGTGTCCACGGGAGGACAGTGGGCACGGCCACCTCCCTCGGCCCTCAGTGCACTTCCCTACCAACAGCCGCGCTCTGGGATGCACTCCGAGGTAGCTGCCCAAATCCACCCTCCTGCCTGGTGGAAAGCTCAGCTCTCTTTGGATTAAAAGGGGGAAAGGTGGGGGACTGCTGGCTCCCCAGCAGCTGTGGGTTACAGGGGAAGTGAGTGGCCCTCGGGCTAGGCGCCAGGTTCCATCCGAACGCTGGTTACCTGGCACGTTAGTTCCGGCTGGGGCTGGGCTCTCTTCCCGCAGCTGGAGTTCCAGGCAGCCTTTCCCGAAGCAAAGGGCCTAAGTGGTGAAGCCCCACGCCCTCCTCCCCCACCGCCATGAGTCTGCAGCGTCCACCTGAAGTCAGACGCTGCGGCCACTGGACGCCCAGCCTCTCCCTCCCCGCCTTAAGTGGAGCCGGTGTTGTGGCGGAGCTGGCTAAGGCACTGCCAGGAGCACCTGCATTCTAGGTGAGCGCCAGTTTGCGTGCCGGCTGCTCCACTTCCCTCCCAGCTCCTGGCCCTGCGCCCACGTGGTGGACCTGGAAGGAGAGTGCATGGCACTCTGGCCACCGCAGCCACGTGCGGAGTGAACAGTTCTCCCTTTCTCTCTCCCCTCTCTCTCCACACTTGTCTGGACACCCCTAAAGCCGCTCACAAAAGCAAAGACAGGCCCAGCCATCCCACCTTTCTAGCATTTTCTTTCATGCTCTACTCATGTGCAGCCCATGGCCTGGGCCCTGCACTGTGGACCTCGTCACAACTCCATGTCAAGGGACTCTGAGATGGAGAGGACTCCACCCTAGCCCAGGCTTCAGATGCCACCCCCCTGCATTTCTGTTGCCTCCTAGGATCCCAATGGATCACAGGTGGATCCCAGGATCCCAGTGGATCTCTGTGGGCCGCAGTGCCTAATCCACCTGCCAGAAGCGCTATGTGCTACATTCGTGCTGCCCATGCACGCAGCACCAAGCAGCGCTCTCCACAGCTCAGGAGGCCACAGTGGGCAGGTGGGGGTCACAGGCTGCTCTGGCCCTGGCCCCCTGGCCCCTTGCTCCCCCACCATCCCTCGCTATTCTACCACCCATGGGAGTTAGTGGACGGTGACTTCTCCCTGGAGCAGGTTTTGGGGCAAGTACGTGGACCTGGCACCTGTCCAGCCGCAAAGAAACACAGGCTCTGGAAGTGGGCAGGCTATCTTGGGTCACTCGGTGGCCCTAGGGACAAGCACCAGTGTCCTGCTCAGCCAGAGCCAGGGGAGGTGGAGTGCTGAAGGGCAGAGGACGGAGTGAAAACAGGACATGGCCTTGAAGCTGGAAGGAGACTGTCTGAGTTGGCAGCTGCCAGCCAGGAGGCCAGGGCGGGGTTAGTCCGACAGCACCGCGGTCCCGGGAGGCCAGGGCGGGGTTAGTCCGACAGCACCGCGGTCCCGGGAGGCCAGGGCGGGGTTAGTCCGACAGCACCGCGGTCCCGGGAGCTGTGGCACCTTTTGTGGACCTCAGATCTGAGCAGCTGGTGCCACTAAGTGGCTATGTGATCCCAGGGAAAACACACTTTCATTTCCAAGGAAACAATCCAAAGGTTGAGCAGCGCCACTGTCCTGCCATCCTGCCTATAAAGGCAAGGCTGGGGCATTGAAGTGACAGTGCCCACTGCCCCCTGGGGAGCCTTGGATGCGCATGCTCCCCTGGCACTGCCCGCCAGACCAGCAGCAGCAGCAGCAGCTTGGCCGGCTCATCCAGGGCCAGGGCCGTCTGGGAGGTGGCCACAGCAACAGCTCCAGCCAGGGAGCCCCTGGGGGAGGAGAGGGCCTGCTTTGCCGTGCTATCTGGGCTGGCAGCTGAGTTGGGGGGTCTCAGAGGGCTGCAGGCAGGCAGGGTGCCCTGCCTCGGCGCTGCCCCGCCCAGTGGGAAGCAGGGTTTGTCCAGGCACTGAGTAGCTGTTCCATCCCAGCTGTGCACAGAGGCAATGTGCGGGGTGTGAGGGTGACCCCAAGGACGCCCTGGGACATGACATGGGAGCGTGAAATGATTTCCTGCGGCTTTCCACTGCTGCACGAACCCGGCCGCCCTGCGTGTCACCAGCCGGCTGCCTAATTTCCTAAGAAAAGGATCCGACATGTGCGTGTATTTTCCAAGGCCTGGTGCCTCCGCGCCGAGCCAGCCCATTGCTCATCTGCATTGGCGTCCAAATGGAAACCCCCTGCTGCTCCCCTGCCCACTGGGGGTCAGGACGCAGCTGGCATCTCTCAGCTGGACATCCGACCGTCCCTCCTAGCAGCCATCCTCACCGCCAGCAGAAACACTCAGGAAACAGGGACCCAAGGTTCCCGCTACAGGCTGGATTCTGGAACATGAAGGAAAGCAGCTCTGCTGGCCCTAGACTGCGTGGTTCCCGGGGCCACGCGCCCAGGGCCTCAGAGGAGGGAATGGCTGTGGCATGGCTCAGCTCCGGTGGTGCTGCCCCCTGGAGCACACTGTGAGGATGGCAGCCATCTTAGGGCTGTCCCGCCAGTGTCCCCACTGACAGGCCAGCGCAGCCTGGACCACAGGCCTCTGCACAGAACAAGCTGTGGGCCTGAGGCAAGAAAGGGGCCTGCCTCAGCTCTTATTTCCCATAAAGGTAGCTGCCTCCGGGCCCGCAGTGTGGCATTGTGGGTGAAGCCACAGCCTGCAGAGCCGACATCCCACATGAGTGATGGTTCGAGTCCTGGGTGTGCCACTTTCCAGTCAGCTTCATGCTTAATGAAGCTTCATGCTTAATGAGCTTCGTGCTCTCCCAGGTGGGAGAGCAGTGGAGGATGGCCCAAATGGTTGGACTCTTGCACCCAGAGGGAGACCTTGATGAAGCTCCTGGCTTCTGCCATTGTGCCCATTTGGGAAGAAACACTTTTATATAAACATTTTTTAAAAGAGTAGTTGCCTCCCAGGGCTGTTCTAAAAATTAAACGAGGCAACACCCAACACGTGCTTAGCACACAGCCCGCATGCCAAGTGCCAGTTACCAGCACAAAGGGAGGGAACTGCCTCTGGAAGTCCCTGCAACAGGACAGCCTGCTTGTTACACTGGCCACGCCCCCACCCTGGGGGGAGAGCAAGACCCCCTGCGCCCGTGTCACGAGGCAGAAGGTCGGGCAGGAAGCGGGCTACTGCCCTGGCAACAGGAACGGCTAAGAGCATGGCAGCATGGCCAGTCCACCTAAGCAAATCCCAGTCACGGAGGCCAGTTGATTTCCTGGGGGCTCGACATGGCAGACTGGTCACCCGCGGCAGAGGGCCATGCCGTAGGATTTACACGCGGCGATGGCCAGCCCGGTGAGGAGTGATGTGTCCTCCACTGGAATGACAGGAGACGCAGTCACACCTGCCAGCCGCATAGGGCGACCCAGTGTGTCCAAGGACCCATGGAACTCTGGTCCATCCCAGGGCTGTCCACAGCCATCCCACCCCGTGGAACTCTGGTCCATCCCATGGCCGTCCCACCCTGGATCTCTGGTCCATCCCACGGCTGTCCTACCCTGGAACTCTGGTCCATCCCACCCTGGCTGCTGTTGGGGACACCCTCAGCTCTCTGAGTCTTTTCTGTATCTTACTGGCTGCTGACCACCTCCTTCCTGCCAGCTGCACCCACACCTCAGTGCTGCGTGGAGCTCACTTAGCAGCCCTGCTGACGTACCTGCTCACTGTGCCTCCACCCCGCCTCCTGCGGCCTGCCACCTGCCCTGTGCCCTGTGCCGGGTCTCCCGTGGCCTGCCGCCTGCCCTGTGCCCGGTCTCCTGTGGCCTGCCCTGTGCCCTGTGCCCTGTGCCGGGTCTCCTGTGGCCTGCCGCCTGCCCTGTGCCGGGTCTCCTGTGGCCTGCCCTGTGCCCTGTGCCCTGTGCCGGGTCTCCTGCGGCCTGCCCTGTGCCCTGTGCCCTGTGCCCTGTGCCGGGTCTCCTGCGGCCTGCCCTGTGCCCTGTGCCCTGTGCCCTGTGCCGGGTCTCCTGCGGCCTGCGGCCTGCCCTCTGCCTGCCCTGTGCCGGGTCTCCTGCGGCCTGCCGCCTGCCCTGTGCTTTGTGCCAGGTCAGCTGGCATGGGGATTGGCTACCACACCTGGTCACTCTGCCCATGGCTGCAAGCTTCGCGTCGTCCCAGTCCCCATCACATCGTTCCCTGGAGCTCTGGCAGAAAGTACTTCCGACGGGGCAGGGGGTGCTGTTAAAACACTAGAAGCCACAGCCCCGTTACCTCCACTTACGGAACCTAAGATTCCCTAATGTGACCAAATACCCCATCTTCTGAAAAACCCGGTGTCAGGGCTGCCAGACGTGCTCACGAGTTCCCTCTGGAAGCGGCAGGGTGGGCCATGCCCAGGCCCCACCAGCCTTCAGCACCACCTCTGCTCCAGTCTACGCCCTAGCGCCTGCATCAGCACCCAGGACCTCAGCACATCCCTCCTCTGTGCCCAGCAGCTGGCGTGCCCCACCGCCAGGAGCCCCAGGTGCAAGTGACTCCCTGTGCCCCCGTTACACCCTTCACAGCTACTGCCGGCTTGCTGAGCTCTGCCCTCTGGCTTCGCTTTGGAACTGGTCCTTCTTGGTCCACTCCTCAACACCCCGCAGATCCACACAGCTGCCGGGGCTCCTGGTCTACATGCCCAGGGCCCCTATCCTTCCCTCCAAGTCCACAGTTAAGTGTTGCCTAAGGAGCCTGCCTCCTTCACAGCCCAGCCCCTCACTCTGCACCTGCCTCAGCCGTGGGCACGCTGGCTGCCACACACAGTGCCAGCTCCCTGCCAGTTCCCTGCCAGCTCCAAGCCCAGCCCTGTCTCCCTGTCCCCTTCCTTGGAGCCACCCGACTGCTCCAGCAGGATGTCACGGCCCCCTGCTTCCTCCTCCTCCTCTGATTCACCTGTGGTCTCCAGGGTTCCTCCTCTAGCCTGCTCTTAGCCCCTCTCCCCTGCTTCCTAACCCGCCGCTGGACACCCCACTTTCCTGCTTCTTGAATCTCGCTCATGCCCTCAACCCTGCTGCCTCCAGGGATGGACTCCAGGAGCCCCCAGCTGGTACCAAGTTCCCTTGGCTTCTCACAAGTGCTGGACTGGTCACAGTGAGAGATGACTGAAGAAGCTGGGCTCGGGCTCAGTGCGGTGGCCTAGCAGTTAAAGCCCTCACCTTGAACGCACCAGGATCCCATATGGGTACTGGTTCTAATTCCAGCACCACTTCCCATCCAGCTCCCTGCCTGTGGCCTGGGAAAGCAATCGAGGATGACCCAAAGCCTCAGGACCCTACACCCTCGACCTGGAGTAGGTTCCTGGCTCCTCGCTTCAGATCGGCGCAGCATTGGCCATCACGGTCACTTGGGGAGTGAATCATCGGGTGGAAGATCTTCTCTGTCTCTCTTCCTCTCTGTATATCTGGCTATGCAATAAAAATAAATAAATCTTAAAAAAAAAAAGAAGGAAGAAGGTGGGCTCAGTGCCGTCTGCCAGGTTAGCACCTCAGAGCCCTGAAGTTCCAGCCTGCCTGAGCCCAGGCCTCCCAGAGCCACCTGCAAAGCACCTGGAAAAGCCACCTGCAAAGCCACCTGGAAGCAGCCAGGGTGGCCAGCACCCTGTTAGGGAACCTGCCGTTCCCTCAAGTTACTTCTGCTTGATATGGATCAGCTGCACCCAGCACCTGGCATGGCTCCCTTCCCTGGGCACTACCTTCCTCCAGGTGACTCCGCAGCTGGGGAGGCGGGCCCGCCGAGGACCCCTGCACGCCAGCGCACCGGTGCCAGCCCTCCTCGTTGACGCACAGCTCCGCCCCCAAGCAGGTGCTGAGTTCTTCATACAGGCATTCGTTCACATCTGAGGACAAAGAGGACAGGCCCACCTCCTCACTCCCCCGGCCCCTCACCCTTCGCCGCTGCTGTGGGTCCCAGCAGCGAGAGGGGGGCAGGTGTGTTGGGCAGTGGCCCCAGGACATGCTGCAAAAGGCTGGCACTGGCCTCCCTCCCAGCAGCTGCCAACACCTGGGCAGGGCACGCCAGTGCCCAGCTGGCATCAGCACTCTGAGAAGTTGGGGCACCAGGGAATGACACAGCAGTTTTCACCGTCATGAAGACAGTTTAAGAATCCGCACTTGAAGTCTTCAAGAAGTTCATGGAAATGGTATTTTGCAAGTTTTCTTTGTGGGAAAAAAAAAAGAAGAAATCCATGCGATCCATACGCGGGAGGGGTCACCCAGCTCACAGAAACGCGAGTTGCAGAAAAACTGAATCAATGGATCTTTTCCATGACCACGTGCCACGAACTGTGCAAGGGTGGTTACGGATGAAACCAGGGCCACCCAGCCACAGACGGAGTGCAGCTGGCTTCTGGATTGACAACCAAAACTCATGCAGCGCCACCCTGCCCAGCGGGGCCTGCCCTCCGTGGTGGTCCTATCGGGCAGCAACAGTTCCCGGAGCAGCGACCTCAGCGAGGCGCTGCCAAGTGCAGGGAGCAGGCGGACACAGCCCGACCCCTTGCTGCTGTCATGAGGCCCAGACGGGGCACCCACCGAACACCACAGCCCCGCTCCTGGCCAGGGTGAGGGATCAGTTCCCGCTTCCTTGTTTTTTTCTTTTTAATTAAAGATTTATTTGTTTGAAAGGCAGAGTGCCAGAGAGCTCCCACCCACTGGTTTAGTTCCAGCCCTCAAGTCCACCTTGCACATGGATGTCCAGGTGCCCCTCCCACCCCGCCCCAAGGGAGCACTGACCTTGCACCTGGACGCTGACCACCTCGTAGACGCGCCGCACCAGCTCATCCAGCATGCCAGAGATGCTGGCCATGGGCAGCAGCTGCCGCAGGCCCAGCAGCAGCCGCGACAGCGTGGTGGAGGGGTCGCTGCTGGCCGAGTGCAGGTGATGGACGGAGGCGTTCAGCGGCTGCAGGGCATTGATAACCTGTGAAGCCAGGATGAGAGCGTCACGCAGTAGGAAGGTACCCCCAGCCTCAGACGAGGAAACTGAGGCCCCTGTGGTGGCAGCCGGTGCTGTGGCACAGCACGTTAAGCCACCAGCTGTGATGTCAGCATCCCACAGTGTCACCAGTTCGAGTCCTGGCTGCTCCACAACTGATCCAGCTTCCTGCTTATGGCCTGGGAAAGCAGCTGAGATGGACCTCTCTCCTGCACCCCTAACTGGGTGTCACCTGCTGCCTCCTGCACCCTAGCAATGCTGAGCAGCCTGCCATGCCCTCAGTGGTCCCCCACCCTTCTCCCCACTTACCAGGGAGCCCAGGAGGCGCGTGTGGTTCAAGAGGCGGGGGTCCTCTCGCAGCAGGTCCTGGAAGTCCATCTTCACCAGGATGGTCACGTTGTACCAGGCCAACATGTTCTCGGGGGCTGCATCTACACCCCAAACACCGTTGAGGAAGGAGCCCGGGGGCACGGAGGGAACCCCAGAGCCAATGGAGTCGGGGACAAGAAGCTGGGAAGCAGAGTACTGGCCAGCACTGGCCTCTCTGCACACACACCTGCAGCACAGTGAGAACCTCCCAGGCCCCGCCCACACATCTGCGGCACAGGTGAGACCTGCCCGGTCCCTGCCTCACTCCTTTCCTCCAGTGGCCGTGGACACCTGTCCCTGGGCAGTCAGGAAAGCTGGGAACCACAGAGCCGGCCTTCCCTTGAAGAGATTATCTGGGAGTATAAATCCACCTGCTAGTTCTCGGTGTAGCATAATGTCTTCCCGACATATAGAAGTACTGTAGACTGTGCCACATCCTGTTTGTACTCTCAAACTGTATCATTGCACAGATGTACCCTTCTGATGATGGGATTCTATCATCATTTAACAGCAGAGTGGACATATAGTATCACAATACGCCAACTATGGTGCCACTTATGCCCATAGTAGCCCATACCAAGCACCTGTCGGGTGGGGTATTTTTGAGCACCTGTTTCGCTGGCTCTGACCCTGGCTCACCTGTTCTCCCCTGGTCACAGGAAAACATTCAAGGCTGGCAGCTTGGACACAGAGGGGGCAGTGTCCTAAGCATAGGGCTGGGAGGACGTCAGCCAAGTCTGGGGGCACGCTTCAGATGCCCACACACCCCACTGGGAGCACTGAGCAACTCGCCTGAGCACTCACCTCCCCTGCCCATGAGGCCCTGGGAACTCTGCCCTACAAGGGACGTCTCCCACTCCAGGATACCCAGGCCGGCTGCTGGTGCTCACCTGCTGATGCCGCAGTGGCAGGATTTTGACAGTGCACATGCCATGTGTGCCCATGGGGGAGGGCATCCCTGCCCCCTCTCCTGAGCCCTAATCCCCCAGTTTGCATGACTGATTGTGCATCTACAGCAGCCCTACCTTGGAGTGTGGGGGTCACACAGCGGTGGCCCCCCAGCCAGGGGCAGCACTTGTTAAGTCCAGGACAGTCGGTGTCTATGCTGCATCGGGACGCGGATGCTCCTGGCCCGGTCCCCGCCGCCGGGCAGACCCCGGGTCTGGAGGTGAACTTTCCAGAGCGATTCAGAGCTGGGGGAGGAGTGGAAACACAAGGTTAATAAAGTGCAGTGGTGGTGCCCTCAATGCAGCCCCCAGGGAGCAGCAGGCCTGAGGGGCTGGTGCCCCAAGCGCAGGCTCCAGGCCTCCTCCTGGAGGGCCCCGCCCATCCTCCCACTCACTCAGGACTGGGCACAGTGCTAGGCACCTGCCCCATCCCGGGAGCCAAAGGCAAGTCCTGCCTTCAGCAAGGACTCCAGCTGGGGGCACAAGCCTGCAAGCCAGACTAGGTAGGAGCCGCAGGGCCAGGCAGAGCTGCAGGGTTGGGGGGTCAGCAAGGCCATGTGGGAGAGGAGGAATGGAGTGTAGGGGGTCAGAGAGCGGCAGTGTCCAGGGCTGCTCCCCAGCCAGGACCCCATGTGCCGGAGCAGCTTACGGGAGCAGAGACTGGACCGGCCATGGAGCACGGGACCCCATGTGCCGGTGCTGGGAGCAGCTTACGGGAGCAGAGACTGGACCGGCCATGGAGCACGGGACCCCATGTGCCGGTGCTGGGAGCAGCTGACAGGAGCAGAGACTGGACCGGCCATGGAGCACGGGACCCCATGTGCCGGTGCTGGGAGCAGCTGACAGGAGCAGAGACTGGACCGGCCATGGAGCACGGGACCCCATGTGCCAGTGCTGGGAGCAGAGACTGGACCGGCCATGGATCACGGGACCCCATGTGCCGGTGCTGGGAGCAGCTTACGGGAGCAGAGACTGGACCGGCCATGGATCACGGGACCCCATGTGCCGGTGCTGGGAGCAGCTTACGGGAGCAGAGACTGGACCGGCCATGGAGCACGGGACCCCATGTGCCAGTGCTGGGAGCAGCTTACGGGAGCAGAGACTGGACCGGCCATGGAGCACGGGACCCCATGTGCCGGTGCTGGGAGCAGCTGACAGGAGCAGAGACTGGACCGGCCATGGAGCACGGGACCCCATGTGCCAGTGCTGGGAGCAGAGACTGGACCGGCCATGGATCACGGGACCCCATGTGCCGGTGCTGGGAGCAGCTTACGGGAGCAGAGACTGGACCGGCCATGGAGCACGGGACCCCATGTGCCGGTGCTGGGAGCAGCTTACGGGAGCAGAGACTGGACCGGCCATGGAGCACGGGACCCCATGTGCCGGTGCTGGGAGCAGCTTACGGGAGCAGAGACTGGACCGGCCATGGAGCACGGGACCCCATGTGCCGGTGCTGGGAGCAGCTGACAGGAGCAGAGACTGGACCGGCCATGGAGCACGGGACCCCATGTGCCAGTGCTGGGAGCAGAGACTGGACCGGCCATGGATCACGGGACCCCATGTGCCGGTGCTGGGAGCAGCTTACGGGAGCAGAGACTGGACCGGCCATGGATCACGGGACCCTCTGTGCTCTTCACAGCTTCTCCATGGGTGTAAAATCACCCTAAACTCAGGGATCCACTTAAACAAACAGAAAACACAGGGGCCGGCACTGTGGCAGAGAGGGAAGCAGCATCTCAGATGGACACCAGTTTAAGTCTGCTTTGCTCCACTTCCGTTCCAGCTCCCTGTTTGTGGCCCGGGAAAGCAGTGGAACATGGACCAAGGCACGGGGACCCTGCACCTGCATGGGAAACCCAGAAGAAGTTCCTGGCTGTTGGCTTTGGATCAGCTCAGCTCTGGCTGTTGCAGCCAGTTAGGAAGTGGACCAGGGGATGGAGACACGCTCTTGTTCTCTGTCTCTCTCTCTGCAATTCTGCTTTCTAATAATTAAAATAAATCTTCAAAAAACAAAGCAAATTCAGCCATCACCCCCAAAACGGTGGCTTCCATCAAGGGTTGCTCATCCTGAGGCAGGTTTTTTGTCTGCATCTGCACAGAGCTTGGGGTCGGCGCTCCACTCGGCACCGCAGAGAGCAGCGGGGCAAAGTCCCTGGCAGATGTTGCATACAGTGGAACGGAGTGCCCAGTGCCTGGCAAGCACTAGTGGACTGTGCCCAGAGCCGTGCCTCAGGGACAGCAATGCCCAGGAGAGGCAGTGGCACCCACTAGAAAACCATCACCCACTGCTTCCTCTCGCTGGCATCCCTGACCTGGTCAGCACAGGATGTACTCACAGAAAAGGCCCCAGCAACCAGCAAGGGGGCAGGAAGTTTAGGGGGTGTCTCCAGCCCCCCAAGGGGTCCTAGGCTTGCCCTCCCCAGCCGTGGAGGCTGTGAGGAGGACTGTGTAGTGAGTGGGTATTAGCTGAGAGGTCGGACTCCACATGCCAGGTGCTGAGATGGTGTTGGGACCGCAGGGCAGCGGAGGTGATCTCTCGCAGAAGTGACCTGCATTGTCCTCCCTCTGAGGGGTGCCTGCTCACCACCAGGGGCAGAAGGAAAAAAAAAACATGCTGGGGTCCTGGGCAAATGGCAAGTGGCCAGGACACATGTCACCCATACCTGACAACCAGCTGCAGAGCAGCAACTTTCACCTTTTCCCTCTCCTCAGTCCCTGGCGGCCCCTCACATTCACCATGGCAGCACCAGCCCCTCCCTGCCTTAAGCCGCACAAAGCCGAGGGGCTGTTAACTGACTTCTGCGGCCACTGCCTCACTTATGGCTGCAAACACCTTTCGCCCATCTTGTGGCTAACTTGAGCTTCAACCCAGAGAGCAGCACCTGCCGGCAGGTAGAGGAAGTGCAGCTGCCTTGGGTGCCCTCCACGGAGCAGCACAGTGAGGTCCAGTGTGCCTGGTCCCAGGGTCCTCTCAGGTGATGCCCGTGGACCCCATCACCCCAGGAAGGGAGCTGCTCCAGGACCACGGACAGCAGTAAGCACAGCTCAAGGCTGCAACCCTGGTGCCTGCTGGGAAAGGAACAGGTGTCAGGCAGGAGGGGCCCCTGAGACCAGCGCCTGGCAGCCTGGCTCTGAAAAAAATAACCCCAGGGCTGGAGCCAGCTCCTCGAGTGGCTGGGGCGCTGGCACTGGTGGTGGCCTGGGGACATCACTGGTGGAGGAGCATGCCTTATAAACGGCTTCTCCTGAGCCATCTGACCTCTGAACAGGGTTCCCAGGGGACAGCTGCTGCTCTGTCCCGGGGAAAACCTCCTTGGGGTGCCCAGGTGGCCCTGCAGCAATGTTCTGGCCCAGGACTCTGCCGCGTGTCGCCTCCTGGTTTGAGGAGAAGGCCCCGGAGTAGCAGGGTCCACCATGCAGGTGATACGGACCCACTCCAGGTGAGCACCTGACCTCACAGTCTCACTTCCCACCCCCACCTTGTAACAGGAGAGGGAACAGGACCTGCTCCCAGAGCTCATGTCACACCCAGCCACCCGGGTCACCACCTGCTCCCCAGTGGAGGTCCCCTACACCACTGCGCCTTTCCTGTTTGGGCACTGATGGCTGAGCCACTCTGCCCCGTGACCAGCTCCAACATCCTGCAGGTGGCAGTAGCCCCAAACTGCCCGGAGCAAGCAAGAGGATGGTGAGGAACTGGGGACTCTGGGTAGAAAAGAGCCAAGTCTCAGGGCCCCTGCTGCCACCCTCAAATGATCCTGATGCCTGGTCGAGGTGGAGGACCAGCATTCTAGAAAGTTCCAGCAAGTCCTGAACTTCTGGGCTTCCTCCTAGGGGAGCCTGTGTCCTGGACTCACGTAGGACGCAGTAGAAGCCCAGCTGCTCGTAGCCTTCACAGCAGCTGGTCACATTCCTGGCCTCGGGGACGTCCACCGCCACGTACTGTGTGCTGTACACAGTCTTGGGGCATCGTCGCCAGGGGATCCAGCCGCCGCAGGACACAGAGGTGACGCGGGACGACTGCGTGGCCTCCACCCGGCGGGTGTGCTGGGTCACCAGGCGCTCACACAGCTGATAGCCCAACAAGGACAGGCCGGTCTCTGCAGCAGGGATAGGGTGGGGAGAATAAAGGAAGAACTCCAGGGTCAAGTCCACCAGGGGCTTCAGGCAGGCGGACAAAGACCCCTGCACTGAGCCAAAGCTTGGGCTCCACCTACGAACCACACCCCAGCAGGATTGTGTCCACAGGTTCTAATCCCAGCTGCTCCACTTCCCGCCCAGCTCCCTGCCGTGGCCTGGGAGAGCAGTGGGGGACAGCCCAAAGCCTTGGGACCCTGCACCCATGTGGAGATTCAAACTGAGCTGCAGGCTCCTGGGTTCAGATCAGCCCAACTCCAGCCACTGTGCCATTTGGGGAGTAAACTAGCAAATGAAAGAGCTTTCTCTCTGTGACTCTGCCTTTCAAATAAATAAATAAATTTTTAAAAACCAAAAACCCTCACACATGGTGATGGTTTATTTGACTGTAATACCAACAGGGGTACACAGTCACCAGCCAGGACATGGGGTGCAGGACAGAGCTGCTAGGAGATGGGGTGCAGGACAGAGCTGCTAGGAGATGGGGTGCAGGACACACCTGCTAGGAGATGGGGTGCAGGACAGAGCTGCTAGGAGATGGGGTGCAGGACAGACCTGCTAGGAGATGGGGTGCAGGACAGAGCTGCTAGGAGATGGGGTGCAGGACAGAGCTGCTAGGAGATGGGGTGCAGGACAGACCCTCCCTTATCTCTTGCCTGGAGCCTGCTTCCTATCAGCAAGGACCCCACAATCACACCCCTCTGTTGTGGGCTGCTCTCCACATCGCTCCTGGAGCTTCCCTCCTTGCTCTCCCAAGAGTCTGTCTCTCCTGTGACAAGGACTGCTCTAGTTGACCCGCAGATGTATGCACTGGATGGAGGTGGACTGCAGGGCTTCAGTACCAAGCCTGTGCCACCCACAGACCACAGGCACAAGACCAGGAGTCACTGGCACCTCGAGGTTGTGGGATTTGGGGTGAGGAACCAGCCCCATCCACCAGCCTCGCTCCTCCCCTTGCCCCAAAGCCCTCAGGAGCCTCAGGACAGGGTAAACAGCTGGCTGGGCACATCCGCATTTGCCAATCCTCAATTTCTCAGCGCTGGGTGGGCGCTGCTAAACCCAGCAGCCTGCAGGCCAAGGCTCCAGGTCCGGGTTTGTTTCCTTCTGAGAGCAGCAGGACTGGCTCATGGGGAGAGAGATGGGGAGAGATGCAGGGATGAAGACAGCAGCCATCGGCATCCCACAGTGGGGCAGTGGCTGGGACCCCCCAGTGGAGACCTCACAGCACCCCTCGCCCCACCCCTGCCATACACACAAGGATACAGACTGCAAGGCTATCCCATATCCTGGGAAGCTGATGGGAGGGGCCTCAGAGCCAGCCCCCTGCAGCAGCAATAGCCTGGGGTCTTCTGGTTGCTAACCAGCCCTGTGGGGTCAGCCTGGGGAGCCGGCTGACTCCAACATGGGAAAGGAGCTGGCAGAGAAACCCTATGAGGGGCAGGAGGCATGAGGCCTGGGCTGGGGCAGAACTCAGTGTCAGGGACCGGGGCAGCTGGGCCTTGAGCTTGGGAGTGGGTGAGGGGCTACATGTGCTCACTGATCGGGGGACACACCCAGGGCTCCCTGCACTGTCAGCCAGGCAGGGCGGGCATGCGCTTTCCACCCTGACCTGTGGGCAGGTGCTGCTGTGATACAGTTAGGGGTCCCGGGCCCCTGGGAGTCAAGGGGCTGGTAGGCACAGGACTGCAGCTGGGCACCAGCATGGCCCTCACACACCTACACAGGCACACTCACACCTACACACACACACACGCATCTCCTGGGAAACCTGGGAGGTGTTTGTCACATTTGGTCTCTCGAGTCCCTGGGCTGCCTCCGGGCCTGGTGCTTAGCAGCGCCCAGAGAGGAATGTCCTGCAGCTCCTGCCGTCTGTCTGAGAGCCGACAGCCCAGGCGTCCAGGTCCTGGGTCTGATCTCAGAGATGAGAGAGCCCAGTGCCCTAGGGTCAGACCCCTGCCTGAAGACACCCACTCCTCCAGTGCCAACCACAGGAGCTTACACCCATGCCGCAGCCTCTGTGCCCCAGCCATGCCTGGCAGCTACGGAAGGACCCAGTGAGATGAGGCCTGGGCAGCCAGCAGTGCACACGGCAAGAAGCCGAGCCAGACTGCAGCTCTTGAGGTTGGCAGCAGGTGCCACGGCAGCTAAAGAGAGACCCACGACAGCTACATCACCCCCAGTAATGCAGAACGGGGGGCTCCTTCAGACCCTTGTGACCCTGTCTGTCCAGGCGTGTGGAGGCCCCTGTGTGCGTGCCAGAGGAGCTGGCCTCCGTGCCACCGCACCCCCCTCCGTGGCCTGCCCCTGCAAGGCCAGCTGGAGCATTCACCACGTCTCAGCAGAGCCCTCCTCCTCCAGGGTCTCCCGAACACCTCACCTGTGAAGCCACTGGCCCAGCTCAAGCTCACAAGGTTGACCAGAGCCAGGAGGGCCAGCCCTGAGGCCCTGAGCATGGTCCAGCGCTGGTGGCACAGGGTTCTGACCTCCCCTGGCATAGCCCAAGTCTCCCCAAGCAGGGCCGTGAAAGGAGCTGAGTTGCTGGGCTGGGAGCAAAGACCTTCTGTCCCCCGGGCTGCTGATGGTGGCAATGGCTTCACAGGAAGCCCGCCCCTTAAGCCTGCTCGGGAACGCCTGCCACCGTAGCCGTGCCCCTCGGGGCATCTGCGTGCCATGGGCCATTCTTGCTTGGCACAGATGGCATATCTCGCAGGAAAGTTGAGTCCCCAATGGCCCCAGCCACCTCACTGGAAGCCGTCTCGTTGCCATGCAGACAGCGCATCCTGGCCCTGAACCTGACTCCCTCCATCAAAGCATTCTCAGAGCTGGCGAGGGAGCCAGAGTCCCCATCAAAGAGGTCCGTTGGTTCACAGAGGCGGCCTTCACATGGTGGGACAATGGGGGTCAGAGGTCAGGAGCTCAGCCCCCACCTCTCCCCCTCTTCCTGCTCAGCAGCTGTGAAGTCCAGCTGAAACTGAGGAAATGGATACATCACCGACACAGGCGTGTCCACGGCAGCCAGGTCTCAGCGGTGCTGAGGAATGCTGAGTCCGAAGGCTGAGCTGTGCCACGTGCCACGTCCACGCAGATGGCAGCTCCGGCCAGGAGGACAGAGGTCTCTGGAAGCGTCCCTGGCCATGGGGACGTGGGGAGGACTGGCAGTGCTGTAGGGGACTGGGGGTTTTTCTCCTAGGCCATTGTGCAATACATGCTTAGATTCACAGCCCATGCTGTGTAGCTGGCAGCGCCCTTGCCCTGGGCCGCGGCTGGGACAGCCAAAGCCCTCCTACAGCCCATGGAGGAAGTCCCGTGGGTCTGATGGAGCCCCATGGTGGTTGTTTGGCTTCTCGGCCAAATCCCTAAGCGCCCTAAACAAGAAGATTCTTCCAGAAGGGACCCCCTAGGCTAACGCCCGAGTGCTGTTGCTACAGCTTTTATTCCCAGGGGATGAATATTGCCTGATCACCTGCCGTGTCTTCCCCACCCTCATCTCCGCCCCCGGTGGCTGAAGGAGAGATGCTGAGACAGGCACACAGAGCAGACCCTGGCGGGGAGGGGGCTTGGTGCTGGGGTTGGCCCCTTGGAACACCTGAGACCCTCATCACAGTGCAGTGCCTACCTGGGTGCAGTGCCGGCTTAGCTCCTGACTCCAACTTGCTACTCAAGTGCACCTGGGGAGGCGGCAGGTGCTGGCTGTGGTCCCTGTCGCCCCTGTGGGTGACATGGCTGCCCTTCCAGGCTCCTGGCTGCAGCCCTTGGCTGTTGCCTGGGGTGTGGACCAGAGGGGATGGAAGAATATTTGGTCTCCCACTCTCTGTCTCTCCAGCTCTCACACAACTACACCTAGATAAACAAATGAGCAAACAAAAATTGTTTAATAAAATGGAAAGCAGAAAACACCCCCACAATTCAGGGGTCCCCACAGTGAGGAGCCCCAGAACACAGCGGCCCCCAAACTCACGTGCTGTGCTGCCCATCAAGGTATCGTCTTCTTTCTGTTTCAAGCAGAAGAGAATCCATGTCAAAGCTATAATGCAATATTTGAAAAATAAAAATGTATTCGTAGTAATGAATGAGTGAGTGAATGCAGGACCAGGTGGATGGTTAGGAGGTCCATATAGAGCTGTGACAGAGTGGGCGCCATCTCAGAACCAGTGTTCCAGTAGTGTCAGGGCCCAAGCACATGAGCCATCCCCCACTGCTTTCCCAGGCACATCAGCAGGGAGCCGGATGGGAAGTGCAGCAGTCGGAACTCAAACCAGTATACAAATGGGATGCTGGTATCTCAGTGGTGGCTTAACCCACAGCAGCCCCATGAGGACCTTGGCTTTCCTCCTCACCACCCCACTGAGGGAGAGGCCCTTGCTCCCCATTACCCAGATGCAGAAAATGTTCAAAAATTACCCCTGGGTTTGCTCCAGCCTGAAGCCCAGGTGCCTCCCACACCACTCCCCTGCCCCCCTGGTCATGACCCAAAGAAACCACACACCATGGAGAGAAGGGCCTGCATCGAGGCAGCTTTCCACTTGGGGACGTACTGGGTTTTGGGGTCACCCACACAGTGCCATAATTCACTTTCTTTTCATACTGTACTAGAGGGTTTTGAAAAACTTCCAAGAGCTGGTGCTGTGGCACGGCAGCCCTTCCACTGTGCCACTAGCATCCCCTATGGGCACTTGTTCATGTCCTGGCTGCTCCACTTCTCATCCAGCTACCTGCTTGTAGGCCAGGAAAGCGGTAGAGGATGGCCCACGTCCTAGGGACCCTGCACTCCCGGGGGGGACCCAGAGGCTCCTGACTCCTGGCTTTGGCCCAGCACAGCCCTGGCCACTGCACACATTTGCAGAGAGAACCAGCAGGTAGAAGCTCTCTTTCTCCTTTCTTCCATACGGCAGTGTCCTTCCGGCCTGGCCTTCCAGCTCCCGGAGAGCTGATGTAACCCCCAGTATGGCGTTTTCTCCAGATGTTACACATCTGTGTTTTTCCACAGGACAGCCACTGGGCTCGTCCACATTTGCCTCTCCATATGAATGATTTGAGGAGAACATAACCCCATGTAGTTACCCAGAGCAAGAGAACGTTCAGTACTTGGGGTCCCACACAGCTAGGATACAGCCCACTTGGGGCCCATCTGTCTGCCCCCCGCCCCGGGGCCACTGCCCTGAACAGTGTCTTAGGTTGGCAAGCATTGGGGCAGCCACTAGTGTGTAACGCTGAAGGACACACACAAAGGTGTGCCCTTTCACACTCACACATGTGCATCCAGCTGCACACACTCAGAATCTGTGCAGATACACACTCGCATTAACATATGTTCATACTAACGTGTGTGTTCACCTATGCACTTGTGTGTCCATGCAAACATGTGCCCACACTCACACCTGGAGATGTGGTAGAGGAAGAACTTCCTATTGGACATGAACAGGACTTCCTACAGGAGGGAAGGGGCCAGACCTGGCCATGGCCCACTCTCTCTGTGACCTTTCTAGCTCTGTTCCCAAGGGTGCTCGGGGAAGTCCCACGCCTACCACTCCAGGGTTCATCACCCACCGTTGCCCTGCAGGTCCCCACCTTGCACCTTCCCGGGCTGCACCCCGCCACAGTGAGGCTGCCGAAGCTGGTGCAGCCCAGGAGGCCTTGGGGAATGGCCAATGCTCACAGTTCCCTCCCAGAGTCATCCACGTAGCCAGGCAGGGAGCGGTATGTGTGCCTTTCCTGGGCTCAGGTTGCCCAGAGGGGAAGAGGGAGGGGAGAAGTGTGGGGAGGGCAGGGAGAGCTTGCACCAGCCAGCAAAGGCACCTCTCAGATGACTATAGGCGCTCACAGCCGTGTCCCCCAGGCATCCACTTAGAGAGGAAAGCCAGGCCAACGGCGCCTCTGCGCAGCACGTGAGGCCATCTCAGAGGCTGCCATGGCCCCAGGGCCGAGGCTGGGGCACTGGGAGCGGCTGGGGAAGGGAGGGTTCCAGAAGGACACAGCAGCTGCGTGAGGACCGCAAGGGGCAGGTGGCAGGCCCAGAGCACTGTGGGAGAATCCCAGCAGGCAGCCTGATGCATCACACCCACACACACTCACACCCTCTCACTCCGTGCCTGAGTACACGCTCATACCCTCTCACTCCATGCCTGAGCCCCAGCCCCCAAGGGGCAGGACCTTATTAGAAAACCAGATGTTTGGCAGATGTGACTGCAGATCTTGGGGTGAGATCATCCAGGACTCAGGGTGGACCCCAAGTCCGAAGACTAAGCAGAGCGGAAACCCTTCGTGGGGAAAGCCAGGAGAAGACGTGACCAATCTGGGGATCCGTCTACCAGCCCACACGCACCAAAGGCTACGGGGAAACCAGCCACAGCGACTCAGCAAATCTGCACCCATGGGCTCACAGCTCCCAGGCAACGGCCCTGCCCACAACCTGACCTTGGAGCCTGGGACACTGTGAGAGCCAGAAGTTCTGTCACCCAGCAGTGGGGCCAGGGCAGTCACGGCCTCACCCTCCAACCCCTGGGTGCTGGCCGAGCAGGCGCAGTGTGGGAGCCCTGGGGTGCCTGTAGGGCTTGTGGGCAGACCTAGGGTATGGATTTATCAGGCAGCACACGGGGTCCCTTTATCCTTGAGCCTGGCCTGTGGCTCCTGTTGTCAGGGTGGAAACTCCACCAAGACCTGCAACTCCCCTCAGCTCCCTCTCTCTCTCCTGTCTCTCTCTGCTCTGACTTCCCTGCCAAGGGACAAAGCAGGGGTGTGGTGCTCTGTGGGGTTGTGCCTGGTAGACCATGCTGCTTCTCCCTCCCCCCCCCGAAATTTGATCCCTGGGGAAAGTATTGGGGTTCTCTGCAGGGTAGCAGGGGGAAGCGGAAAGGCCAGAAACGGGTCTTCTTGAAGGCCCTGGCACAGGGACAGAGCGGAGCCACAACCAGCCACGAAATGTGAATGCAGGCAGGCTAAGGTCACGTGACACCCTGAGGGCTGGGAAGGTACAAACCTGGGGGATTGAAACCCTCCCCCTCCCAAGGAGCCATCCCACCTGTCAGATGCCCACACAGGCCAGCAGGGTACGAGAGGGAGACTGACCTGAACACAACTCCACAGCCAGCCATTGGCTGCACTGCAGGCCCCTGGGCTGAGTGGGGACCAGATGGGGTACAGGGTGGGGCCAGCTGTGTCCTCCCAACCGGCCCTGGGGCTGGGAGATTGATTTACCCAGAAACCCCTGGAGCCCTTAGCACAAGATGTACCCCCACCCTGCCCAGCCACCAGGACACTGCGGCCTTGAAGTGGGCAGCGCCACAAAGCTGGCCCAGGCATGCGAGGTACTGCCCCTCCCGGGGGAGGCGACCCAGGCCTCCACATCCCTTGGCGCCTCATCCAAGGAGGTCGACTTGAGTTTCAGCAGCAGGAATGTGGGTCAAGCTCCGAATGCTTAGGCCAGAGACAATGACGCGGGAATGGCAGCACAGGGGACTTGGCCTGGCCCCTGCCACCCAGCCCCAAGCCTCGGGTCCCACTCACCTCCAGGCTCCTGCAG